CATGTTACATACCCCCAAATGAGACTCAGACAGCGAGTACTGGTGAAATGCCGGACGGCCTTTATTGAAAGAGTTTTTACCACCCCGACCTCCTCTACCGTAGGGAGGCCGTCGATGGGTGTGTTGGTCCCGCGAACCTCCCGTGTGCCTGTCTGGGCCCGGGGGTCTCGCCGCTGGGGAACGATGGACCACGGAGCGTGGATATGGTCCGGGGCGCTTGCCAGGCGAGCGCTCCCTGCCTCTGTCTCGGCTCCGCGCTGGTGGGCGGGCCTCGCGTCTCGTAGCTAGGTGTTTTGCTAGGCTAGCCGAGTCCTTAGCCGCGCTGTCCAGCCTCGTCATCAGCGTCTGCATCTCCGGACCGAAGAGCGACGTCTGGGAGATGGGCAGGTCCAGCAGCTGCCTCTTCTCCGCCTCTCTGAGGTTCACCGCCCCCAGCCAGAGGTGTCTGGCCCCGACCTGGGCTGCTGCCATAGAGCGGCCGCCATCGACAGCTAGCGCTTGGCACATGCGCAAGATCGCTGCTGAAGTGGTCCTCGCCTGGGCTAAGGTGTCTCCACTGAGTGCCTGGTCAGAGGAGAGAGACCTATCCAGGGCCCCGGTGATGAAAGCCATGTTGTTCGCCACCGCGACGACCTGAGCCGCATTGGCGTAACATCTGTCATGCATAGCCAGAGACATCCTATCCCGCTCGGAGGGAAGGAGAGGTCTGGTGCTGGGCCACACGGATGAGGAGGGGTGCAGGGCCGCCCGAACCGAGTCCTCGATGTCCGGGACCCCGCCTGTCCAGGACCAGTCCTGCACGTTGCAGTACATGCCATACCCCAAAGCGGGCCTCTTGGCCGCTAGGGGTTTTGGCCACTCACGTGTCGCGTAATGGACGATCGGGTCCATACGCGGGCACAACGTGGGCTGGGCTCTCCTCCTCCCTCGAGGGGCTGCGTACCCAGAGGTGAAGTCCTCCACCCTCTGGTTCGGTTGCGGTGGCAGGGGGGCATCCATGATGGCCGCCGCCGTGGCGTAGAGCCCAGGCATGTGGTCCAGCGGGAAGCGGTCCGGCTCCGGGTTGGACACCACCTCGTCCAGCGTGAGGAGAGAGCCGACCTCCGACACCTCTCCGTCCTCGCAGTCACCCCACTCCGCGGGCACAGGTGGAATGTCGAGGGGGGCCCAGTCAATCTCAGACTCCTCGTCCTTAGAGGAGTCCGGACGGGGCGCTGAAGCGGCGAAGAACGCGCGCCTGCGTTCACTCTCCTCCCTGGGGAGAGCGACACACGAGGCGCAGGTGGCGCTCAACGCCGCATGGCCCGCACCCAGGCACATGAAGCAGCTGGAGTGCTGGTCCTTGCGTTGGAGCTTGCCCCGACAAGTCGAGCAACGACGACGTCCGACGCCGGATGGCGAAGGGGAACTCGGACGTGCATCAGAAGACATCTTTCTTTCTCAGGTAACGAATGTAGATCTCAAACGGCGCCAGAGTGAAAGAGGGGGTGCGGCCTTGTGCAGGGGCATTTATAGAGGAAGGTGGCTGGTGATTGGAGCAAATTATTTTGATCTCTCTGGCGTCTGTGACCTGGGGGTCACGTGATATCCCACTAGCGAAGTCCTAAGGGACGTAGCACCATGACGTAGAAGCTCCAAGGAGCGGGGATGAGAACCACTTTAACAACAAATCATAACAAACCAATTTGTGTCACAAAGGCCCAGAAATCCAACTAATGATTTGAGAATCATAACCTTTTTTTAGTTCTGTGGCCTCATGTTACTTCACCAGTGAGATTAGCTTGACGCGGTGAGCTCTGGCAACCCGAATCATGGACTTTCTGATTAGTAAAAACAGTGGAGGGCGGGACATGGAAATGAAAACAATAACAAGATTTAGGGGCTGTAAAACTAATATTGAAATTTAAATATCTCGGCTGAACTACTGCTATCAGTTAAAGAATGTTGGAAAAGAGCATGGTTTATTAATGCCTTTTGACACATAGGGCTTGACATGAGAATCTTCCACATTGCTACTTTAGGATTTCGATCCTTTATGAGATATGGAAGAGATTTGTGCCAATCCATTAGTGCTTATTCAATCACTCCCATATTACTGCTTTAATTCACAAGACATTTCACTTGTAAATGTTTTTTGTTTCACTTTGTACGATGTATACACTATACATCTGAGCCTTCACTCAAGCATAAAATCAAAACCAGTATTGTAATCTAGTCACTCGAATCACTGGGAATCGAAATCTTGTGAGCTCCGTGTTGTCCATGTTTCCTGGATTCGACCAGGCGCAGCAGAACGCGCACGGGACAGTGGGTTTGCTCAATATGTGAAAACAGCAGCCCAAAGTGTCAAATAGTGACCCTTTTCTTACTAGAGTGCAGTTGATAACATGTTGTCTATTAAAGTAAAGACAGCATGTGGTGGTACGATTTGTTGGTAGCATTTTACTTATACTAGATTTTTTCTCTTTCTGTATAAGAGAAATGTTGATGAAATAGACTTGTGCTGCAGTCTCGTGATCTCTGAGATAACAATGTGAGCGTTCTTTTTTATGCAAACATTTTGTGCTGATAATTTCATGAAGCAAAAATCCTCATTGTTACTGTATTTCTTTGTTCTGTTGTCTCTGGAATAAGAGTGTTCCAGCAAACACATTACATAGAGACAATCTTATCTGGGTTTCAAACATGGATGATTGTGTTTTCGCTGGAGCATGGAGAGGGAATTTGTTTTTGTATTAAAAGGTAAGACTGAAAAATGTAAATATTGCGGTCATGTTTGGTCAAAAAGAATGTTAGAAATAACTGGTAACATCCTGGACTTATGGGCTGTGACTGGGACTGTACCACTTGAATCACTGTATTTGATTTTGGACCTGACTTGAGGCAATGATTCCAACCACAATTCCATTAGATTGGTCCCATCTCAAATAATTAGTTCAGAGCTCAGGTTGATTCTAACTTATCACAGATATAAAAAATTACAGTTCACTTTATCGGTCCCAAGGCAGCTGTGGCCATAGAATCAGTCTTTCAACACAACTTAAGCCTGGGAGTATTCGCCTTTGCAAAAACTTTACTGAAGCTACTTTGTGATTTGAATCAATGAATGAGAACAACTGTTTTCCATATTCATCTTCCACTCTAATAAACCTCCCATCATCACGAGCAGTTATTTCTGTGGTTCTCATCTAAAAAACGTCTCCTTTGAGTGTTGCTTCTACACTGCCCAGATTGATCAACAAAACAAATGCAATGTTATGAATACTGGGCAATACAAAACAAGTACAAGCTTTTTAATGTTGACAATGGAATCCCAAATGCAAAATATAGTTGATGTTTATGTAAAACAATAAAACTGTTTATATTTGACTTTTCCTTGCCCCGACTTGTCCAAACATGTTCTTTTGCAATCCAGCCCCAAAAGGTTTTGGACGGACTGCTCCTCTTTCTTCTAACTCTTCCTCCTACTTCACACATGGTGAGCTCGCCTGAGCTCGCCACGCTCACAGGACCATGACATTGCTTGTACGTGCAGCAGGTGTATTTGCTGGACTCAGAGCAGAGTCCACACAGACAGCAGCAGCAGCAGCAGCAGCAGCAGCAGCAGGAACACTGACACGGCTGTGGTTCCAACAGTATGAGAGTTTCTAAAATGTCCAGTATTTCTCACCAAACACTCTGTGCTGAACCTGCTCTGTGCCTGCAGGGCTTTAGAACTGTGTCTAATTACATTAACATGCTCATTGTGTCCTCAGGCAAGACACATCATCCACAATGCAAAGTGTGAGTCTGGTGTGTGCGCAAATCTGTGCCATCGGCCCTGACACAGATTAGCAGCCTGACTTCTGTCAGTCTGCCCCAGGGCAGCTGTGAATCACTACTGTGTACGGAGAGAGTGAATCATGTCAATCAAACATATGTTTAGTTGTTACTAATCAGGTGTCAGATATTCAAAAATAATCTTCATAGAATTAAGGCAAGTTTAATTGTAATTGTAATGTGTCACAGCATTTATGACTGTACTATACACTGTTTGTTGGTTCAATTCCTATGCAGGTTTCCTCTGGGTGCTCCGGTTTCCCCTACCACTAAAACATGTACACAGTTGTGTGTTCAAGAGAGTGACTGTAGGATGAGATTATCCAAAGGCTCCAATCCAGCGAGGTTCATTAACACACACTGTCCCAACCAAATAAACAACTCATTCTTTAACACCAACTAAAGATTTATGCATCAAAGATTTACCTCTGTTGAACAGAGACAAAAACAAGAAAACTAATGGATCGAGTGTTTATTTTTAGCCCATAATTTGCATTTCTGACTTTTTTACAATCATGAAGGTATTTTGACCAAATAATTGCTTTTATTGAATATGAGTATGGTACACAGTTGGATGCACCGATACAGATAATGGCACTTGTGCGTTGTGTGTTCAGGACAAATCGTCACCAGGTGGGTCCAAAACAAACACATATTCAACAAAGTGAAGTTTCACATCAGCCTGTCTAGGGACAACTGATGGAAATTAGCCTATGGCTAAAATAAAATACATATTTTATATGTTCATTAATATGTACTGTCCCTACTTAAATAAAAAAATAAATAAAAAAATAAAAACAAACACATATAACACCAGCAACTTGATCAAACTCACCACCGCGCAGAGTCACCTTTGCTAGCACTGCAGCTATATCTAAATTGTATGAGTGGAATATGACAGTGGCTCCTTTTGTTGACTGTTAAAACAACTACTAAAATGTTCAACTGTTAAACTTAAAATAAAATAAAATGCTTTGAGTTGTATTAGTTTAATGAATTCCCAGGGATAACAATTCAGTACTCGTATTATATCGGCAAGTACTCAAATTAACGTACTCCTACTCGTACTGGTTTTGAAAAAAAGTGGTATTGCTGCATCCCTAAATATTAGTATGGATATAATTTTCCTATATTTCTAAAAACAAATTGGGGGCCATAAAATACCTTTTCGCAGTCCGAAAATGGCACGCCGGCCGTAAGTTTGAGCCCCCTGCTGTTAAGTGACCAGCTAACCAAGCCCACATCCCTTCCACTTTTCCTCGTTGTCAGCTCTAATAACGCCTTGTCAGTCCCGACTTCTGCGTTCCCCTTTCCCACAGCCCTCCCTCAACCTGTCCACCCTGCCCGCCCCAAACCCCGTCCACGTCATCGGAACACAAACACCGGGGGAGCAGACGAGATGAAGTGGAGATTTACGCGGGTGACCTTCCACAGGGCCCCCCCCCCTCTCGCTCGTCTATCCCTCCAAAGCTCTTTTCTTTTCTCTTCTGACTCTACTATAAATCACAAACGCTCGTTCATTAGTCGGGTGTCAGGACAGGACCCGCCCACCGCACAGGGCGCAGAGGCTGTAGGAGCGAGGAGAGGGGAAAGGAGAAGACAGGACCACTTAGAGTCCAGTTCCCAAAGCAAATGCACCAATTTCCATGTTAATTTGGCGGCTGACAGAAGAGATGGATGTTTGTGACTTTTGTGCTGGCGTGATGCATGTATACGCAGGGAGAATGAAGCCATTATGTGGACAGAAGGGTCATCTCATCTCATCATTTAGGGGCCTGTAGAGGAGCGGGCCCTCTGACCGGGCCCTCTGACCGGCCCGCGTGTCACTGGACAGTACCCCTGCTCAGATATAGCCATACATTTCAATAGGATGTTATAAATATCTCATGGCTGAAAGACCGTGTGACAAATGCAAAAATAACGCTTTCGTCGTTGCTTGCGGGATTTGATTTATTTCATTTTGTCTGTAACCTTGATTTCACCGGGGGAAAAAAACATTCAAAAACATATTCAATTGTGACCTGCTCTAAGGCACTGTGAGGAAGACGCACACACACCTATTTGACTAAGTGATAAGTGACAGCACAATCAGCACAACACAGAAAAACATTCATTTCAGGGAGAAAACACGCCGTTTCCAGCTTTGTGATAAGAAGATCTGCCTTGAGGTTCCCAAACTGGGGGCACAGATGATTTTTAAATGCAATGTAGTCAAAAATAATAATAATAGTCATAATAAGAGTAATAACTACATTTTAAATAGTGGACACACAAAGACACTATGTCATTATTCATTGGCTTGCCACAGCTGCCCTGGGGCACACTGACAGAAGCGAGGCAACCAGTATGTGACATCAGCCTCTTATGGCCATCACTAACCATTCACACACACACCAGACTCACACTAGGTAATGACGGTAAAGTGTCTTGCCTAAGGACACAGCAACAGTCGGGCACTGAACAGCCGCAGCCGCACCACGGTGGCACATGGTGTTCTCAGGTCTCCCATCACAGTACTAACCAGGTCCTGCCCTGCTTAGTTTCTGAGCTCTGCCAGGATCCGTCTTTCACATACAGATGACACTACTATTGAGTCAAATGTTTGATTAACGAACACATTTTATAGGGGTTTGAACATATTATGAAGTTCCCGGTCTGAAAAGTTTGGGAACCCCTGACGTTGGTATGACGACTCATTTACAGCACTGTGGAGTTGCCTCATTTATGTAAGTGAGTCGTCTTTATTTATATAGCGCATATTAGGGCTGGGCAATCGAATTTAGGGAATTAATTTGCTTTTGAAAAAATCGACATTGTGAAAAATGTGAAAATCGTGAAATCAAATGAAGGATATTGTGAGAGCTCCAGCAGCACATGAATTATACTTGCAATATCAGCACAGTCTGAACAAGACTTATAATATGTATTTGGGGAAACAAAATAAAAATAGTTTTGAAACTTGAATATTGAGCGGAAAGGCAAAAAACATATATTTTCAATGGTAAAGTCTGTCTTGGGTGACATTAATGAAAATCGATTAAAAATCGAAATCGTCCAAAGCAGGAGATAAAATTGAGATTTTACTTTATTCCATATTGCCCAGCCCTAGCACATATACAGACCAAGGTCACCCAAAGTTTATTTTACAATGTTCAAAGATATTATTCCATTCCCTCGACACACGGTGATGACAAAAGCACAAACACACTGTTGCATCAAAGCCTCCAGTCAACACCATCCATTCACCCACTCATTACATTCATACCTTTTCGTACCATGTTTTCAGTGGTAGGGGAAACTGGAGCACCTGGAGGAAACCTATGCAGACACAGACAAATATCTGCTCAGTCTGTACTGTAGTGTGCACCTCAAGTGGATCAGAGAACAAACTTCCAGCCCACACAAATATTCATCTGATTCTGACCAAGGACTTTTACCGTGACTTTTCAAACAACTTCTAGTTTGTTTTGGTACCAACAGCTAAGTGGGAACTATCAAGTTGCGTTTGTGAAATAGACAGATAAGAGATAGCTTTCTCTAACACAACATTATACTTCTTAATTTGTGCTAAAGGGACGGGGACACACACACACACACACTTCCCCTGGAGATCTGTCAGCTTCCCTCATGATCTCGCTGTCCTCTTCAGATCCCCGACACTGCGCCGACAGAAGGTCAGCGATGCCCCCAAGACCCATTTCTGTGCAACTTCATTCTGCTGCAGTGACTCTGGTTTGGTGCCGTTCAGAAACATGTTGAGTGGAATGTCTCCCCAGATTCACAGACAAACTTTTATTGACACGTGGAGTATAATAATCCATCTGGAAGTTGCTTTAGACAGTTTTTTTAAACAAAGTCATAATGTGTTTCTGTCTCTGTCTGCTGTATACACTGGTTATAATGTAAGACACGTGTATTTATTACAATACAAATCGTAAGAATCAAAAACTTGACGATCATTCAGTCCAGCTGTATCTCTCAGTGTTCACGCAAACTGGAGGTGAAATTAGCTATCTGTGGATTTTATTTCCTTCGGGCAAAAGTGTCTGTGCAATGCCAAACAGAACATTTAAGAACTGTTAACATTTATGGATTTTGGTGATCCCGGTCCCTCTGGACCAATGGCTCGTATTCTCTGATCTGTGGTCTGTGGAATCATGCTGTTGTGATCTGCATAAATCAGCCACATTTTGTTCAGATTAAAACTGGGGTGCCAAACTTTTCTGTTTAAGAAAATATTATATTTAGTTTGTGGAAAAGTCACCACAACATAAGGACTCATCTTATTAAAATATGTTTTCATACTTGTAAGAGAGACCCCTGTGAGTCACTATTTGACACTCTGGGCTGAGTGAGGGAAGGGAACTCTCTTTTTCACGTTTTGGTCTAAAAAAGGTGATCCAAAGATGTGACAGATGCCAATCAATACATGCACGTGAAAACTAGTGGTAGAAGCAAACCATTGTGAAGCCAGCTTCCTGGATTTTACTACATTTATTGTCGTTTAAATATAATTGTTAAGAAATGTTATGTGTATTATCATATTAATAAATGTGTGTAGAGTAGGGTCTAGTCTTGTTAACCAACTAATGCATTAAGGGTGGCGAGAATGCAGAATTCTCCCAGCCCCCAGGCAAGAGTGAAAGAGCATAAGTAAACAAGAGACAAAGTTAATCTTTTACTTGTTACATTGTACAAGGAGAATGTCTTGACAGAGGCAAGGCACAGACCCTAGCCTCTCTCAGGACAAGTCTGAAGATTCACAGTCTGCAAGCCCCTTTTGGTAGAACAAGACACACCTTCGTATGCAGATGGGAAAGGAAGAAACCAACACAACAAAAGACACTTAGCTTATGAGCTCCCCAGACCTCCCGGTGTCTTGCTGGAGCTAAAGTGAATTACAATACAGAGCATTCAGCACATAGCCACATACGATTTACCAAAATGATAACTTAAGTTACATTCCAATATCAATAATGTATCCCAGTTTTAAGTTTAAAAACAGTATCATGTCACGGTGAAAGTGGTGAGAGGAGAAAAATGAAATGTCGATTCAGCATTTTATGTTAGCTGTATAGCTCCACATCACAACAGCAGTTCTCTTAGAGGACTTTACAAACATCTATTCCTCAAACAGACAGAGAACGTTAATAATAACATGGCATGTCGTCTGAAAATGGCGCCGTGGCAAGAACGTGTACTGTCTGGTGCACACTGGGGTAGTCTTGGAGTTTTTCAATGTGGTTTTACTGCAAATGGCAAATCAATTATTGCATCTTGTATCTTGTACATGACTAAGTTCTTCTTTTTTTTTTTTAAATATCATAATTCACTCTCTTCTCATCAACTTCCAGCTCTTTTTCCAGTTTACTAATCTTTATTGACAGTGTACAGAGACATTAATCTCAGACAAACATGTTCTGCAGCCGATTATGGCTAGATAGCTAGTTTCCATCTGCAGTCCCTGGTTACAGAGAAATACATTTAAAATAAATTACAAATATGAAAGTGTATCCATCCGTTCTCTATCAACTACAAAAGTTTACCAGTCACTCCATTTAATTCATTCTGCATCAGTTTAATTTACTAGCTTTGAACCATATTTACAACTATTAAGTAAAGCATTCCCCTCGTATTGTACCACAGCGCTGCTAACAGACTACTCCTCCGCTTTGACATTGTGAGATTTCTATCGACCCGAGTCTTCCTGTACCTGATGGGAACATTGATCCGCGGTCCGCTCGGCCAATAAAAGTGCAAATGCGAAGCCGGGGCGAGTGGCGAGATCATCCAGCTGGTGGCGCGTGACTGACACAGGAATATACCCTCTGTCACACAAACGCCAAGGCTATGGATTTCCTCTTAATTGAATAATGACCATATTAACATGCGGTCAATGAGCAAAGCATTCACACTGTCCATTTTAAGAAGATGTATTGCAAATTTCGTGTAAAACTAAATATTCCTTGACAATAGATTTGAACCAGAGTCAAGTATAATTTCACATCTGACTTTTGAACGCTCCCCGATCCCCTCTGAACCCTCTTAACTTTGGCAGCTGCAATTATAATTGTGTTTGGACCGATCAATACATTTCTATTAAAGTGAATAAATGTGGCACAATTGAAATGACTGGGTTGAGTGAATCTGACAGTTGGGAAATAAAATGGTAACCAACCAACAAATGGAAGGAGTGTGAACGCGTTAAAAGTAATGTATTCTGTGAATGAAACGGGTGCAAGATGTGATATGGTTGAATAATTTGGAAGTGTAATGGACGGTGTAAAACAGTGTTCCCCAACCTCTCTGAACCGTCACATGGCACAGCACTAGTTGAAACGGATGCAAACATGAACAAAGCAATGTCATTCTCATCAAAGTGTATTTTATAGAAACTCAAACAAGTACAAAAAGGTTCTATTCTTCTTCATTCTTTTGATCAGGTGACATTGGATAATTTCTAAAAGGCACTCTAATGATCCACGTCACACTGGTTGAAAAACACAGACGTACATGTATAGCACCACTGCTTCTGACCTATTGTTTTTTTTTTTTTTTTTTTAATTCTTTATTTGAATTGGGACAGTGCACATTAATCAACATGTGTTTTTTCAACATGTAAATGCGCCGGAGTTAGCCATATAGGCTAATTTTCATCCGTAGTCCCATGGCAGGTTGATGTCAAGATAGGTACTGTAGTATAGGATATACAACAGGCACAAACATACAGCAGAAACACCATCACAGAGACATAAAAAGACAGTGAAAGAAGAATACAACATATAGTTAAAAATGCAAGGAATATATAAGAATTTGTTCAACTAAAAAATCAGAAAGGGACAATACACACAACACCATAATCTTCCACACAGCAAGACATGTATCAGTGTTTGGTGACTTTAGTCCATGTTGTGTTCACATGTCTGATTGTCCAAAAGCCACTTCTTCACAGAGTTCCTAAAAATGTGAAATGAGGTCAGGTTCCTCAATTCTGTTGGAATCAAGTTCCAGGAATGTGCTGCGCGTACTGAGTAGGCAGATTGTCCAAATGAAGTCTTTCTAAATGGGATTCTACAGTCTCCTCTGCTTGATGATATTGTAGGACAACTACACACACAGACCATACTTACCATCTATCAGACACAAATACTTCCTTCTTAGTCCTTATTGCTCTTTATGGTTGTCCTTCAGGAGCTAGAAGGAGATCAAGTGGATCACCCGAACGCCACTAAACAGCATTCATGTGAGAATAATTTCAGAGAAAAATGATGTCTTGTTCTGTAATAAAGTGTCTTGAATGTCCAATGAAAACGTTTTTGCACGTTCAGGTCATGTACTCATTTTTTGAATCACAATACTTGCTTTATCACATTATGTTAACAATCACAATACAATTGGATTTTGGCCCAAAGATCACAACAATATCAGAAGGTCATATTTTGGCCAATTCCCACAGCCTTGATTCTCACACTCGCTGAATGTTAACGCTATGGATTTTCTTTCAATTATGTGATGTTTCCACCCGGACACATTGCTATGTAACACAAAACAAAATTCCTGGATTAGCTGCACTCCAGGAATAAATACAGTCTAAATACGTCTTCAAACCACTGCAAAAGCTCACCATATCACGGACATGTGTTCACAACTCCAAAGTTATATAAACTTCTGCAATTCAAACAAACAAACAAACAGGGAAAACTGCATCACAAGCTGTAGCAGGCGCTAACTACACATGACAACAGCACGAAACAAAACAACAGTATTAAAGCAGCAGACTTACTATGCGCCGACACTGGAAAGAGAAGGCTCTCGTCTCGTTCATAGTCCATGGTTATTATTATAGATCCATGTCCGTGGCTTCATGACGGCGGTCACCTCCAAACGCGTCTGTGGTCGCGTCCAAACACGTGTCACTCAGGTGTCTCTGCAGCTGATGATTCCTTCAGTTTCATAGAAACGTGTGTGAAAGTATTGCTATCATCAAGGAAAAAAATGGAGGACAAAGTAGATATTCCTCTACATAAATACCGCCCATTTGCTAACCTTTTTATCTCTCAGGACCGAGCAGACTAATATCTAAGGATATTACAGGCACCGTTGTTTCTGATTGGTTCAATAGAACGTTCAGTTGACATTTCAACAAGACAAGACGAATACAAAAAATATCAATCATACACATTACATACATTTAATATATGATTATTATATAATTATAATCATATATTTATATATGGGGGGCAGTCAGAGCTGCGCCTGCAGTACATAGAGCACCAGCCATGATATTATATATTAAATGTTTTTTTTTGTTTGTTTATGTTTTGTATGATGTGGAAACATTGCATGATAAATCAAAAATAAAACCATTCAGATGAGGTACTTTGCTTCAATCACAAGGATTCTGATATTTAAACCGACCATATAATCAACCTATATATAACATAAGTGACAACGTTTGGAGAACAGTCTGAATAATCAGATGGATTTTATTTGGCTTTACAGTATATCAGACATTAAAAAAGACAAGTACATCTACCTCCGTAAAGACTCCACTGCCAACGAGTCAGGATCAACCAGAGTCAGTCCCGACGACACTGATCCTCGAGTCTCTACCATAGACTGTAAACACATGCAATGTAAGCAGCTGTGCATGAGTCTGCGCATGCAGCTGTGCATGAGTCTGCGCATGCAGCTGTGCATGAGTCTGCGCATGCAGCTGTGCATGAGTCTGCACATGCAGCTGTGCATGAGTCTGCGCATGCAGCTGTGCATGAGTCAGCGCATGCAGCTGTGCATGAGTCAGCGCATGCAGCTGTGCATGAGTCAGCGCATGCAGCTGTGCATGAGTCAGCCCAGTGGGGGCGAGTTCCGACTCAAAAACGAGCATGTGCGCTGACATACTTGCAATACCACCCCGAGCCGCTGGGGTTGTACCCAGAAAGAAAATTACCCAAACCTTTTGTGTGGCGTCTTCTTTCCTCTCGAAAACAGCTTTACAGGATGGTCCAAAAGTTAGCTCTTGGCCCAAAAGTCACTTCAGACCCATAAGTTAGCTCTTGCCCTAAAGCTGCCTTCCAGATGCGTGTCAATGCTGCTGAGGGGAGTTTATTTTTTTTGACTACTCTAGTTTAGAGGCTATGGACTTCAGAAGGCACTCGTGGCACATTTTTCACATTGTCCTGCGGGAGGGGCTGCCGGCGGCCATTTTGAAAAAGCTCCATCGAAGCCAAGAGTGATGGCACATTAGTTTCAACGGCGGAGATATCGTGACTACGTCCTTGATATTTACAGTCTTTGGTCTGCACATGCAGCTGAACAGGACACAGGTGGGAACGCCCAAAACCAAAAACATTTGGCTCGCCCATTTCCACCGCAGGACCTTCCGCAGCATCTCATGTCATGGTAGGCCACATTCAGTCTGTGCATTCTGCTCTTTTTATAGTGTCTCCACCAGCAGGCAGTGCACATGGGGGACATGGGGGTAGAGGATACTTTAACTCAATGTTTCTTTGCTGAAAACCTGATCCAGATGATACTTTTAAAACAAACTGCAAAATAATGACAGTTGTACTTCACCATTGTTCACAGAAATGGCTGCAGACCTATATTTATACAGGTGTAGTATGACGACAATTCATATAACAGTTCCATATATTTGGTATAGACCGTACATTGAAACTGAATAAAAATTGGCTTCACATCATGTCACTGCACTCCACTTGCAGCAAAGCAAAGTTGATCCCGAAAGGCTTCACATTCTGAGCCAGAATGGTTATGGTGCATACTATTATCCTTTTTTTTGCTACAATCACTCTCTGTTATGTCATCCAGCAGCTGTTTCTTCTTTCCCTTTTCACATCTCGCTCACTAAAAGCAGTTTGATGTCAGCAGTCGCCCTCCTGCTACATAATGCATATCACGAAGCCACATTGTAAACTAACGCACATAACATTCTCAGTATTTTCATATCCTCCGGTGTGGAAAAAGTCAGTTTAGCCGTAACGGACAGGCCGCTGACAGTCATGCAGTAAATCTCTGTGTACATGCTGCCCATGCGTGTGGTTTGAGGCCATGTCTAATTTGGGTCATCGGTTCACTGACATGCTATATTAAACCGGCAAAATATGAAGCTGGAATCCCGAGGGCAACAAAAACCAGCATATTAAAGTGAATCATTGGCGTACAGTGAAGTAATGTGGTCATTTCTTGGGACTGAGCATTGGTTGGGTGGGTGGTCTGCTCGGCTCTGGTGCTTGGGGGGGCTTCCTGTAGTAACATATGTGGAAAGGCAGACAGGATAATCCCTTTGCTGTCCACGGAGCGCCGGCTAATCCAGCACTGGCAGCCGGAGGCATATGGTGACAAGACGGTTATGATGGTGGTGGAAAGTTGGGATGGTGTTCGGTGGTTGTAACGATGTTGTGGAAAATAAGCTTGACTTGCTCCAATGAAGCCACGTTCGGGAATATTCAAATGGTTAGATTATTGACGGATTATGTGCACGGCGTGGGATTTACTGTGATTTGACAAATTGCAATGAGTTGGCAAATAGCTGAGCGTGCAATTCATAATATGGCAAAAAATGACAAGTGCAATAATTGTATGTATAAGTCATGTGTTTTTTTCATACATACATTTTTCCTGTTGCTGTAAGGATTTTGGAATAGCCATGTTGTGGATAGAATGAACCACAACATGGCGGAGAAGAGATGATCGACCATGCACTGCAGTTTCAACTTGTGTATGGATTTCTTTGAGTAGAAAAATATCAAATATATATAATAATAACAAAGACACTACTATCGTGTATCGCTTTTTACTGATATTGTAAATCATTGTAACTCAATTCAATTGCATTTATTTTTGTATCGCCCTAAATCATGACAAAGTTGTTGATTTTCCAACAACAGATCAGGGAATCAAACTGTTTGAACACAAGACAAGCAATAATGACAAACACATAGGAACCATCAGCCGTAGGGAGCGGGATGACCAATGTCCATAAATGACCTTGATCATCACTGTCCTCAGACCCTCCTGCATCGGCAATGAAAAACCCAGTGGGAAAAATGTGAGAAACTTCTGGGAGGCCCCTATTGGGAGAGGGATCCGTTCCCACAGACTGTTGAGGCAGGACTCAGGCTGTAGAACGAGGACTGAGCTGAGGCTGTGTGGTCGAGGACTCGCAGGCGGGGAAGGGGTGCAGCCCAGGGGTCCGGAGTCCAGGGGCGACCAGACTGAAGTCCTATCTTTATCCATGATGTTTATCCAATATTTATTTTCCTTAAAACATCATTTTATATTGTAAAACATGAACAAATGAAATATTCTCAACATCACATGTGAGGGCTATAATGGACACAAAATATAATGTATAGAATATGTAAGTAATTTATACATAATGTGAACCCACCATTTGCAGGAGAGGAGAAATGGATTCATAAAGGTGATGAAAATGAATGAATGTATAAATTAATTGTACTGATTATTGGAGATAATAAATGAGCTGTTGAGAGAAAAGACAAATAAGGTATAATTCCTCGTTGAAAACATTTCTGTTTACATAGTACATAACTTTTTCCCCATAAATGATACATTTTAGAAAAATACCATGTCAAAGTAAAATGTTGTGAACAAACCATACCACAACAGCAGTGGCTAATAGGGATCCTAAATAAGTACATTCAGTTTTATATGTAGTTTATCTTGAAAAATGGGGAATGAGCGTCCCTCAAAACAGCAACCATGGAGGAAGAAAAATACACCTCCAACAGTTGCACCAAGGAGGTCCAAACTTTTGAGTAAGAAGGCAACTTTAGATCATCAGACTATATCCGGAGACTCAGATAGTAAGTTTTGATTAAATTCTGGCTTGATAATCAGGTATGACCATATTGATACATGTTGGACAGGGCTGAAGTTGGCTGAATATCTTTTCCATCTCACATTAGTGTTATATACGACCCTCGTACACTATGTACTGCCAAAAATCAGTATATACAAAAAAGTCAACAGCCTTATTGAGCTTTCCAATGCGGTACAGCATGCCTGAAGTTGGCTAGATGACATGGCGAACTTGTCTTAGAGACTTTTGTGAGTCGGGATTAGGAGAGGGCCGCATACAATGACACAGGCGTTAGTTTGGACGTGCCGAAGTTATACCAAACAGATAAGGCAACTTCAGCCAGCTATAGTGGCACACACACATTTTCTGGTAATCCACTTTATTATTTTCTTTGAAAGCAATCACTCACATTTATCTTTTTGTCAGACAAGCCTCAGGACAAGACTGGAGGGCTGGAGGCCATTTGACGCCGCGGGAGAGTCCACTGGTCCCAAGAATCAGGGGGGAAAAGACACTGCTGCACATCATTTATCACTGTATTTTAGAATTCCCCCTTTGCCGTTAATTTGGGTTACTCCTTAATTTTTGGTGAGCGTTGTTTGTTGTTGTTGTTTTTTTGGTGGCTGAGTGCACTCCACCAATCCTACCACTAAAAACATTCACAATAGGTATGAATGTAAATGAGAGAGTGAATGGATGGTGTTGATTGGGGGCTGATGGTCCAGTGTGTTCGGCGACTCGCTTCTGTCATCACCGTGTGTGGAATGATTGGAACAATATCTGAACTCTGAACATTGTAAAGCACTTTGGGTGACCTTGGTCTGTAAAATGCGCTATATAAATAAACATTACTTAATTTCTTTTTGGGTTTTAGTCAAATTATGCTGTACTTTTTGAATTAAATTAGAGATTTTACGCCTGTCATTCTTACCATAGGTTTGGTCCACTACGAGATTCGGGAACAAAAGCTACACACAGGCCATTATAATAAAACAAAAAAATTCATAGCAAGAGTCACCTGCTAAGAACCAAACATAATCTTCATGAATTGGTTCTTCGTGAATCCTACGTCGCTGTGATATTGTCATCTGGGTGTGTACAGAGCAGTTTTGGTGGCTGAAGCGTCCTTTTCGCTGTGCAAACATGGACTCCGTGGATAATTATTTCTCCATGCAAGTTAGTAATTATGAGCCCTTGTCAGGTGAAGGGCCCGGGTTAATCAAAGCACACAGATGGGGTCTATTGCTGCCATTATCCAGTGCAGCGGGTCGTGCACATTTGTACTCACAGGTGACTGGCCTCATGCTAGCCAATCAAATCCACTTTATTCATATAGTGCATTTCATACACTGTTTCCAATGTGCAGCACAGAAAGATCGAGCAATCGCAATCATCTTCATTCGCTTCATCCAACCTCTCTTTGAACCATGTACTTATTATCGGTGTTAGTTTGAGATATGTGAAAATGTGTTTTGCGCAGATTGGAAATAAATTAGGGTTAGACAACAGTGGGAAACAAGGGAGAGTTTGATAGTCACCACAGGGAAAGCCACAAACTTGAGACTTAGAATTAGTCTATAGCAGGCATGTCCAAACTCAGGCCCGCGAGCCAATTGCGGCCCTCTATGCCATTTTATGTGGCCCTCTGCTGCTTACACAAAGTCACAAAAAGTCTGATAGTGTCATCCAAACAACTTCAGCTCTACCAATACAGACATGCTATACCTTGTTGTAAATCTCAGACCCTCTGGAATACAGTTGTTCTATACAGTTGCTCTATCGTTGCATACTGACATTTGTTTTATGATTGTGTCACAACATTCAACCTTTACTAGTCCATTTCTGGGTCAGGGGGGTGGCAATGAGAGCTGCCACCCAGTGCTCATAGCACCAGTCCCTCTGATCCTCTGCAGGTGGTGAGTCCACAGGAAGATGGCTGCTCTGTCAGCGGTAAAACAGCCTTGATCTTTCAGTGGGGGCTTCAGGCAACATGGGGTTAAGTGTCTTGCCCAAGGACACAGCAACAGTAGACATTTGTGGGAGCAGTTGTAGTAGGTCCCATGGTGGGCTCGAACCCATGACCTTCAGGCCCAAAGGCCAATGCTCATTAACTGAACTACCTTTGCCTCTGTGTCACAATATTCCAAATAAAATGCAGTTGTGGTGTGAATCATTAACTCATTTTTAATTACAGAAACCAGTCCCTCCAGTTGGAAGCTAGTTTTTTTTTAATCCAGGTCGTTGGTCCCAGGTCAAGTCTGATGAACAAAAGTGGCCCTCTTACTTAAAAGTTTGGACACCCCATGGTCTGTAGTCTTTCCGTGCTTCGGTCATGTCTGGTCCCCTGCTCTCCACTGGTGCTTCTGCTGAATGACTTAACTCACTTTGGACTCAAGCAGAGAGTGGATGCCCCCTCAATCGCTGTCTCACCAGCAGTGGGTGACTTTTGTGGACATATTGAACTGTCCACAGTGAGGATTAAACAGAACTATATTGAGACGAGAGATGTCTTACGCAATTTCTTTGATTTCTTTATTTTTTCCAATTTTTGAATGTTGTTTTGGTTCCTGCCCTTGACCTGTGCATCTTTGTGTATTTTTGTTCTTTAAACATGTCTAAATAAAACATGAATTAAAAAAAATCTTGTTCTTGTTGTAGGCCAACTTTGCAAAGAAACAGGGAATACTTTCAGTCAGCTGCAAGAGGAAAGAAATCTGGAGAATCTTTGCTTACAAAACTCAAACGTTTACTTCTTTCAACACACGCAGGCATCGTTAATGACAACATTCCACAAAATGTATAAAAAAGAAAAACATAAGTTTGTAGATCTATTCAATCTACAGTTTCAATTTTAGTTTAGTCAGTTTATTCATACTAATTTCAGTGGATGTCAATTTGTACCAAGTTAAATTAGGGGGGAAACACATATAAATGTAAAATCTAGGACCTAAATAAGTCGATAAAGTTACCATAACAAACAAAAAGCTACTAAAATAGACGGGGGGCATTAAGAAAAGTATTTAAATAACATTTGTAACATGTGCAATATATTTACACCTCAGTAGAAAACTCAAAATCACTGGTAACATAAAAAACAGAATATGAGCAGGGAAGGGGTCTCTGCTGGCTAATGACTTCCTTTTCGACTGACTGTCTGCGTCTAACTGGCCCTAAAAAGAATGAAAAAAAGTAAGGGGTGAGACTTTCCCAAGGGAAGAAATCATTATCTTCTGCTCTAATGAGAGGAAACAGAACTTTATAAACTCAGTAGAAGTCGTATGAAGGATGCGAGACGGCCGGAGTGCCCCGTCTAATTACCCCTCAAAACCCTGTGTTTACTTTCTCCTCTTTTGATATCTGGCTAAATGTATCTATATATCTGTATATATATATTTCTTTCTTTTTGTCTCAGCAGTCAAAAGGCTTGCTGTGGTGGTTCTTGTACTTTTCTTCCATCTCTTCCATCCACACGGTCCTCCAGTCCCAGGCCGGAGCCGGGTCCAGGTCCCCGAAGGAGTCTGCGTCCAGCTGGTATGACGGATACAGAACGCTGAGAGGGGAGGCGGGCGGAGAGAAATCTGGAACAATATAAATGATAATATTAGAAAGGTCAAATGTGGGCGTGCAGTGTGTGTGAGCATGCGCTGTAAAAAATATCTACAAAATATCCAGTCATTCTTACAAAGACAAATCCAACAACAACGTGAGCCTTTTTGGATGAGGATGGAATATAAAACAGTTCTGACTAGTTTCAAACATCTTGAGTTGAATGTTGAAATTTTTTACAACAAAACAGTTAAATAGGGAAACTGAGGCATAAATGCATCCCCCCACTCCTTCTGCCCAATTGCTAATTTTTCAAACTCTGCTTTTTCCCTAGCCTGGTCGTACCACACCATAGTACAAATGACATTTGGTACTAAGGTCTGGACGTGCTCCATTGAGCTCCGTTTACAGATAGGAGGGGTTAACTCCTTTTGCAGATTGAAACGATTAGCATTTAGCATTTAGCCTAGCTATCTCCTTTGCCGCTAACGGAGCCCGTGGGGAGTAGCACCACAATTTTTTCTAGCGATTAAAACATTGCTAAACATTACCCTTGCTCCGGCTTCAATTTCTTGATAGAACCAGACCGGATTACTTTACGATCATATTTTCCGCCATTGCCAAACGACAATCTTCCCGTTCGAGGCAAACTCTTGACGTGACCCACAACTAACTACAACACCTGCCTTCCGCGCTCTCTGAATGGTCGGTCGAAATTCAACCGATTGTAATCGCTAACACAGGGACCATGTATTATGACTGTTTTAATTGTTGACTGTGCAGCGCTTTGTAAACATTGTTTTAAAAAGTGCTATACAAATAAATATTATTATTATTATTATTATCCACAAGGAGCAATAAGATCATTTTCAAGGACAACTTTATAAAGGGAAAAGCAGTGCATGCAACATCCCAAACTCTGATAGTAAGAGCTTCACTCACCCAAACACAGCTCCACGGCTCATTATGCTGTCACTATGCAAAGTATTGTCCCCGGTGTGACCTTGTGTGTAGTGTTCTAACCTTCTTCACCAGACCCACATGGAAGCAACGGGCTACAAAACAGTCTGGGTTTATTGCTGTCTAAATAACGACTATATTTGGTAAGTTTTCACTTCGGTTGTGGGTTGAATGCCCGTCTTGCAAGAGTCAAGGCCACTCAGGTTGCAAAGGCTGGGATTTTTTGGTTGCGATTTCTATGTTTTTTGTTCAGTGGGAATGAGGCAGGGGAATGACGTCACGGACATTGGTTTGATGATATTTACAATCGTATTGCCTCCAATTTTGTTTTGGGCCATTTCTCTGGTCAAATAATGTTCTATGCAACTGTGTGCCTTCAATTAGTCCCTGTAATATTGGATTTTGAGAAGAATGGCAGCTTGCTATTTCCCAGCTTGCTATTTTCTTCCACCAGAGGGAGATCTTTCACAACTCACAACCATTTCTATATCCATAATATATGTTTATTTACATTTTGCTCACATTTAAAACATAAAAGTCTAAGTAAGTATTCTACAGATCCTTTTTAGGAGGCTCAATTAAAGTTTCTCGAGTTTTTCTTTTTCGCCTTGAAGCACGGGCAGAAATATATATCAAATATTATCTGCAAAAAGCAAACTCCTTAATAAATTCAAAAAGCGCTTTGATCAAACCGTCCGTCACGGAAGCCAGTCTACAAAAACAAAGACTGCCAATTGAAATTATTTTTTACTCCGCGGGCAACTTTCAAAGGCTTTCAAAAACTGTCTTCGAAGTCATTTCTAATTTACGATTGGCCAATTAACAGCAGCGTTAAAAAAAAAGAGATTCGGTATCTTCTGGCTGCGAGCGCAATGAAGCCATTTTCTCTCAGTCCAATAATGTCAGAAAGAGTTTAATATGATTCATAGACAGGAGGAGTCTCGGGACGTGCTAAAGCTAACATTTGCACGCTGTCAGAGGAATAGAATATATGGGAAGCCGCTGGAGTGAGTGATGAGACGACAGCCACGCATGGAAAAGGAGCGCTTCATTTTTCTGCGAGGGCTTAAGTAATAGATCTTTACTTCCTTCATAAAATATATATATATAGATCCACAGATTTGGAAACTAAAGTCAATTGTAAAACATAGAACAATTTATGTAATGCAAAACAATGTAAAGAAGTCATAACGTGCTTCTGTCCTCTCTATATTGACAGTCTGAGATAAACTAGGATGTATTTAGTATTTTAAATGTCAATATTGAGCTAAAACAATGTAATAATACAGTTATTCAATCTGATCTTACCCACAGTCATCTATCTATCGCTCCAATCAGATGATAGATAGAGGTGGGATTTTTGGCGGCTAAAACACAAGGTGATCCACTGTTTTCCTCTACTAATTCTCGGTGGCATTGTGGTGCAGTGGTTTGTGCTTTACAACAAGAAGGTCCTGGGTTTGAGTCCATCGCCAGATTAGGTCTTTCTTTTTTTTTTTTTTTAACATTCTGTTTATTAGGTTTTCACAAATTTATACAGTTTGGCAATCCAACAGAAAGTACAGATCACTTAAAAGCACTGTATTAGATGTATATATCCCGTTAGATATGTATGTATATATGTTAGGTTATACAGAGAGAAAAAGAAAAAACAAATAAACAAAGGAACATTCACACAGACTATAGTAAAAAAGAAAATATGCGGACAATTAAAGTGGATTAATGTGGACATACAATTAAAACAAAAAAGTGTAGTTCAAGTTCCCATTTTAAACAGACTAATAAAGGATGCCCATGTCCTGGTAAATGTATCTTCATGACCTTGTAAGGAATACCTGATCTTCTCCAGATCTAAGTGCATCATTACATCTCTTAACCAATGCACATGAGAGGGGGGCTCTGCCTCCTTCCAATTTAATAAAATCAGTCTTCGTGCAAGTAAGCACCCAAATTGTAGAACAGTGCGCTCTGACCGTCTTGTAATTAAATTTCGATCTACAATTCCAAGTACTGCTGTGAGAGGATTCATGCCAATAGTTTTGTGAATAGCTTTTGATAATATTGAGAAAATATTTGACCAAAAAGTGTATAGCTCAGAGCAACCCCAGAACATGTGTGACAGAGAAGCTGGTGCTTGATTACAGCGCGTACACACAGGGTCCACATCAGGAAAGATCTTACTCAATCGAAGTCTTGACCAGTGGATCCTGTGTATGATCTTAAACTGAATTAAACCGTGGCGAGCACAGATGGAGGTTGAGTGGGTACAAGCGAGTGCTTGTTCCCAGTGCTCTTCAGTGACAGCAATACCAAGTTCCTCCTCCCAGGCCTGCCTCAGGTGTTGCAAAGTACCAGAACCATCAAACTCAGACAATTTATTATAAAGCTTAGAGATGCCTCCTTTAGAAGAAGGGTTATCTAAAAAAAGTGTATCAATAGGTTTTGGTGTCGGAGCCCTAGGATAGTTAGCATTGTTCTGTTTAACAAAATGACGAACCTGCAAATATTTAAAAAAGTGACAGTTGCGTAAGCCAAATTTTTCCTTAAGTGTTTCAAATGAAGGAAAAAAACCCTCTATAAAAAAGTCCATAAAATTACATAAACCACGCCTAAACCATTCGGTAAAAGTGTCATTTCCAAAAGAGGGTGCAAACAGGTGATTTTTAATTGTGGGTCCAAGCATCGGGTTGGAATGAAGACCAAAATGCCTTAAAATTTGTTTCCATATTTGAAGTGAATGAGAGACTACCAAATTATCAATACCACCATGAGACATTGATGCTATATCTGCAAAAACAAATGCTCTAAGTGAAGAGGGAGAACAGTAATACTGCTCCATTTGCATCCAGCTTGGAAACTTCTTTTGGATCCAAAATGACATACATTTAAGATTGCAAGCCCAATAGTATAATTGAAAATTTGGCAACCCCATTCCACCTGACTGTTTTGGTCTCTGCAGGAATGCTTTTCTAATTCTAGCAGTCTTTTTATTCCACACAAATTCTGAAATTATTGTGTCAAGTTTTCTAAAAAATGACTTATTCAGATAAAAAGGAATGCACTGGAATAAAAAGAGGAATCTTGGCAGTACTGTCATCTTGATTATATTAATACGGCCTGCTAATGAAAGTGGGAGATAAGACCATCTCTCACAATCTACAGAGGTCTGTTCTATCAATTTTGTAAAATTTTCAAGTAGTAACCCATTAAAGGATGAGGTAATGTTAATTCCCAGGTATTTAAATTCATCAGAAATCTTAAAGGGTAAGCGATAAACATGCATGTCATCCAGTGTCCGGTTTATTGGGAAAACAGTACTCTTGCCTATGTTTAATTTGTAGCCAGATATTGAGCTGAATTGTTCCAGTTTTTTCATTATTGCAGGAATAGATATTAAAGGGTTTGAGATATATAGGAGAAGGTCATCAGCATAGAGCGATACCTTATGCTCAGAGTTTGCTCTTGTGATGCCAGAATAGTTCTGCATCATACGAAGTGAAATAGCAAGAGGTTCGATTGCAATTGCAAACAGTAGGGGCGACAACGGACAGCCCTGTCGAGTAGACCTAGTTAGAGGGAAGTACTCTGACCTGATGTTATTGGTTTGTATGGAAGCAACCGGGGAGGCACAGTAGTTTCAGCCAAGCAACAAACTGAATTCCAAATCCAAACTTCGACAGGGCGAAGAAGAGGTAGGACCACTCCACCCTGTCGAAGGCCTTCTCCGCGTCTAAAGAGATGAGCAATTCAGGTTGAGCTTGTGCATTGCTTGTATAGATAATATTAAAAAGACGTCTTAAATTATGGGTTAACTGTCTGTTTTTTATGAAACCATTCTGGTCTTCATGTATGATTGTGGGTAGCACAGTTTCCAGTCGATTACTTAATATTTTTGCCAGGATTTTAACATCTACATTCAAAAGACTAATTGGCCTGTATGCAGACAAACTTTTTGGATCTTTATCTTTTTTATGGATGACAAAAATAGTTGCTTGATAAAATGTTGGTGGGAGTTTACCAAGAGTCATGGATTCGTTATAAACTTGGAGTAACCTGGGAGCCAGCTCATCAACAAAAGATTTATAAAATTCAGTTGTAAAACCGTCAGGACCAGGTGCCTTTGATGTCTGTAAAGCTTTGATTGCCCGTTTAACCTCATCTAGAGAGATAAGACTTTCCAACTCGTCTTTAGATTTCTGAGTTATTAAGGGAATGGGTAGATCATCGAAAAAACTATTTAACAGAGTAGTATCCCCTTCAACTTCGGATGTGTACAAATCTTCATAAAACTTTTTAAATTCCCTGTTTATTTCTTGTTGGTCAGTAGTTAAAGTGCCCAGATGTGTTATTACTTCTAAAATTTGTTTTTTCTCCTCCATAACTTTAATCTGGTGAGCAAGTAGTCGGCCGGGTTTTTCCCCCTGTTCATAGAATCGATGTTTTGTTTCCTTTATTAATTTCACTGCTGAAGCTGAGGATAACAAATTGAATTCAGCCTGCAGAGCAATACGTTTAGCCAAAATATCTGGCTCTGGGTTGGTGGCATGCTGTTGATCCAAGGTTTGAATTTGTTCAGTTATTAACTGTTTCTCCTGTTTTTCCTTCCTATATTTTAATGCACTCTGAGATATAATTTGACCGCGAATAAAAGCTTTCATTGCTTCCCAAAGAGTTTCCCTTGAAATTTCTATGGAATCATTTGTTTCAAAATAGAAAGATATCTGAGATTTTATAAACTGCCTGGATGACTCTTCTGCCAAACACCGGTTATCCATTCTCCAATTTTTTGATCCATTCAGTTTAGGGAATGAAAGATTTAATGTTAATGGTCCATGGTCTGACAGCACTATAGCCTCATATTGTATTGTTTTGATTATGGGTAACAATTTAGAATCTGTCAAAAAAAAATCAATCCTCGAGTAAGAATTATGCCGCGGGGAGAAAAATGAATATTCACGCTTAGTGGGATTTATGTGCCTCCATGGGTCTACTAAGTCAGCAGATTTTAAAAATTGCTTAATCAATTTAGCAGATTTGGTCAAACTCTGTTGCTTATTTGATGATCTATCAAGTAACGGGTCAAGCACGAAGTTGAAATCGCCGCCCATAATCAGACTATGACTGTGTATATCCGGAAGGGATGATATTATAGACCGTATAAAGTGTTCGTCGTCATGATTGGGTGCATATATGTTAGCCAGAATAACTGGTACATTACAGAGTTTCCCAGTTACTATCACATATCTACCTTGTGGATCTAAAATGGAGTCAGATAGAGCAAAAGATGTATTCTTCCTAATCAAAATAGCCACACCCCTAGACTTTAGGTTAAAAACTTGAGTGGTATATATGCCCAATCCAAGTTTTGCGTAAGTGTGTATGATCACGGTTTTTGAGGTGGGTCTCTTGTAAGAACATAATACTTGCCCCAAGTGCATTGATGTGGTTGAGAATCTTATTCCGTTTCAATGTACCATTCAGGCCTTTACAATTCCAGGACAAGCATTTCACTAAAGTTTCTTTATCTGCCATAGCATAAATTAAACAAAAAATGTATGGTCCACAACAGCATGTTAAGTGAAAAAAAATGTATCCACCAGAATAAAGTCTGTGCTACTAAAGAAAAAACAAAAACATTCATGAGAACAAATAACCCCTTCCCCCTCTTAGACACTCCCCAAACGAGTGTTAGGGAAAAAAGCTTTGACAGCAAACTACTCATGTTGCTGAATGCAACCCAGCTAAGTGGTAAGAAAAAAAAAAGGAAAACACTACCACTCCGTTTTTAGAAACTAAATTGTGTTAACAGCATTTAAATTATGAGTTTTTGAACCTGATACCGCCGTGTATCATACATCAAACTAAGAAGAAACCCAACTGTATTTACATCAATCGCTAAACTTGGCTCATATCAGCCCCAAGAAAAAACAAACACAAAAGTCATTCACAAGTCATACCAATCAGGTCCGCGCTCCTCTCCTCGAGTAGCGATGAGCTAGGCGACATTATTCAGTCTTACTTCACATGTTGTTGGTAGAAGGACTCGGCTGCCTGAGGTGAGTCAAATGAATGTCTTTCTCCTTTCACTGTGACAACCAGCTTCGCAGGGAAAAAGAGGCTGTATGACACTCCAGCATCGCGGAGCTTTCTCTTTATGTCGTTGAAGGCTGCGCGCATCTTTCCCACCTCAGGAGTCATGTCAGGGAAGATGTGCACCTGTCGCCCGTCATACACAAGTTTTCCCTTGGATTTGGCTAGATCTAGTATTTTCTGTCTATCCGAAAAGTAGTGGAAACAAGCCACTATCGAGCGTGGTCTGTCTGTAGAAGCGGGCTTCGGACCGAGACTTCTATGGGCTCTGTCAATTACCAGGGGAGAATCAAAGTTTTCGCGTCCCAGTATCTCACATAAACACCGGCAGAAACGTAAGCATATTCCCCTTCTCCGAGTCCTCCACAACCCCAACGAACCTCAGATTACATCTCCGGCTCCTGTTTTCGAAGTCCGCGCATTTTTCTTGGAGAGTCTTGCATTTCTTGGTCATAAGCTGCTGGTTGTGCTCCAATGCGGCGACTCTATCGATCGTGTCGCTTAGCGTATTCCCCATGTCTTCCATCTGCCGCGTAGCCTCTGCTTGTTTGTTGCTAAGTTTAGCTAGCTCCCCAGTTAGCTCCTCACGGAGGGTTTTAATATCTGCTCTGGTATCATTGCGCAGGGACGAAATGTCCTCTTTGAGATCCAAAATCTGCGTTCCAATATCCATCTTTATGTCGTCCCGGTGTGACTGGAGTTCATGGCGGAGAATTGCCAAATCAAGTGTAGAAACAGCAGCGGTTTCAAGACTTTGTGGGGAATCCACGTCCGCCATTTTATCCTTGCCCACGGTGTAGGATGCTATGGACTTTTGCGTCTGAGATAGTTGCTTATTTCCTCCTTTCCGTGAGCTTCGTCTCATATCCCTCAACGCACAAACAGACTTAATAGCCGGAGTTAACTCTTTTGTTGGTTCTATTAGTTTTTAAATGCTGTATTTATCAAGGTCCGATGGGAGCACCGTCTCAGAGATGCTACTCCATTGCTACCCGGAAGTCAACCCCCCAGATTAGGTCTTTCTGTGTGGAGTTTGCATGTTCTCCCTGTGTCTGCATATCACTAAAACATGTAGGTCTGACTGTACTGGTGATAGTCAGAGGCTTCAATGTGTCAGAGTGTTCGAAGTCTGTCTTGGTGTGTGTGTGGAGTGAATGGACAAATATTGGTACAAAAAATGATGTAAAGCGCTTTGTGAGAACCATGGTCCATAAGTAAGAACTACACATATTTACTTATAATTTTGTATGCTTAAAATATTTTTGAAAAGATAAAATCCCGCAAACTGGAGAGCGTTCTCCAATAACCGCTCAGATCTCGCACCCAGATGACATATCTTTGTAAAGAATTGAAAAAGTCTGGCTCCAGCTCAGATACCATGGACCTACAAAACATCCGTCCCTCTGAAAAAATGAATTCAATAGCCGTGTGTGAGCGATGGCCTTCACAAATTAAACTTGGGACAAACATGGTACAATATCTGAACTACTTTGAACTTCTGCCTCGGGTTTAATTCCTACCACACCTGTTGGAAAATAAACATATTCACTCCTGCCGTATTTGTTTGCACTCTGCCCCTTTATGTGACCTCACAGATAACAGTGGTTCTTTCCAGCCCTAAAAACACAGTAATTTGTAAATGCATGAGTCTTTTTTTTTTTTTTTTTTTTTTTACCAATTGATTGATTGCAAAACAAGTTCTGTAGAGGTAACCACTCTTGTTCAGCAACTCACATCTCTGAGCCCAGAGTCATGTATTGGCTTATTCTTACACGTTCTAACAATGCATTAATTGTAGTTATTTAAGTGATTGATTGAATTTTACTTTTGCGCCTCACCGTTTTTTAACACGCTATATAAGTGAAGTGGATGAGGATGAAGTTGAGGTGAGTGAGCAGCTGAGAATAGTACAGACCAGAGCACAGGCTGCAGGCTGACAGCACCATCTAGTGGCGGTATGCAATAAGCACACTATTTTTGTGTAAGAATGTCTAAATGCAGACACTGGACTTTTTTAGAATATATCTAAGCTAATGTAATGTAGTATAACTTCAAAATGGTTCTCCATGTTTATTTGTCATTCATTGAGTAAATCTCCAATATGGAATTATTATAGAAATAGTCGGGTCCTGTGTACTGTAACTCGGAAGGCAAAGAAGTATCTGGGGTAATACTTGAGTACTACCAAACTATAACAACATTTTATGAATTATTTGTTGTTGATGTGTGCTTGTTCTATCCAGCAAAGCCTGGAGCAAAGACACATTCATTGTACAGTAACATACCAGTGTACAGTATAAAGTCCATGTTGTTACCCAGTTAGTTTGGGATTTTCTGGTACTTTTTCATTGCCAACCATCTGATCAACTTTCATTATAAAGAGAATTGGCTTAAAAGTTTTAAAATTTAAAATCCAGTCGTCCTAACTATGTCAGTAATTAAAGTAAAAAGTCTAGTCCAGCCTGTGATATGGAGGCTTTGGACTGTACAGCATCAGTCCAAAGCCTCGGAACATGAATATGAGACTTGAAAACCCTGTTCCCTCTGAGCAGCTCCCACCTGACAGCTCGGCTCCGCTCATGCCCTCCGCGGCCGCCGCCATCAACCTCGCCCAGTGCGCGCTGTCCTGAGTGCAGCAGCTGTCCACGGAGCTCAGGAGGCTGGTGCGTGGGCTGCACATGTCCCGCTCCAGCGCTGAGCTCCAGGTGCTCCACAGAGAGCTGTCCCAGTCACTGTAGCAGGACGAGGGCGAGCTCTGCACCCGCGCACGCCTCACCCTTGCAGTCAGAGCCTCCGAGTCCAGAGTGGAGTACATGTCTGGCTGAGAGGACATGGTCACCCCACTGATGTAGCCCAGACTGTGAGGGAGAGGCGGGGGCAGGGAGGGCCTCTGCTCCGGGAGCACACTGTGGACAGGACACACAGGAGCTCAGGTCAGAGGAGCTCAGGTCAGAGGAGCTCAGGTCAGAGGAGCTCAGGTCAGAGGAGCTCAGGTCAGAGGAGCTCAGGTCAGAGGAGCTCAGGTCAGAGGAGCTCCGGTCAGAGGAGCTCAGGTCAGAGGATGTCTAGGTTCTGAACCAGGAGCCACAGATGACACATATGAATATGAATATATATTTTTAGCAATTACTGGTCTTTTTAATGGTGAAGCATTTGTGTTTTATTTGGCTGACAATAAAACTACGTCAAATCCAGTATGTCTGTTTAGTTTATAACAATTAGATTTTACATAATAATCAAAAACACGCAAAATGGACCAATATTTCCAAAAGTACTATGAATATTTTAAATTTTGCTGTGGCTAAATCTTCCTGTCCCCCAGTCCACGTACAACACAAAATATGTACCTATATAATATAGGTACAGTATATCTGTGACACATGGGTCCCCCTCTCTCCTCACAAACCTCAAAAACTGCCTCACAAAGAGGAAGTTCTAAAGTAATCTAAAGTAATTACATTACTTTAAAAGTTCTATGATATAAGCCTTCACCCGTGCTCTTACCTGCACCTCTCTGGTTTGGGGCTGAGCTCCAGGTACTGTGTGGCCCCAGAGCTGTGCTCCGGCTGCAGGGAGCGGCAGTAGGAGGCGGTGGAGTGGCGGCTGTAGTTGGAGACGTTAGTGTTGGGTCTGATCTTCACAGTAGGAGTGTTCAGAGACTGCAGAGAGCCCATGTCCTCGGTCAGCTTTGTGGAGTGACTGGAGCTGCAACACACACAAATACAGTATGTTTGCTTTTATACACTGCCCACTCATTCATCATTAACCATCACCACTTTTTATCTACTCAGAATGAAACTGTAGTACACTTTTTTTTTCTTTTACCCTTCAAAAATACACCTGAAATTATGATGTTTCTCATGTGTGTGCTTACTTGAAATAAGGCTCCCAGAAGAGCCCTAAACGCACGCTAACACACACCTTCTGTCGTCAGTTCTTTTAAAATATGTACAAGTTTAATGCTACAATAACCAAACATTACCACAGAAACACACAGGAGGCCCCTCTCCACTATTAGCTTACATTACAACTAGGTTTCAGCGGCTTTGTGTAGACATTTTGGCACACATGAACAAAGAACCTGCTTTCACACATGGCCACTTTTTTGTGATGCAGCAATGTACATGAGAGGCAAAATACGTACAGGGCGCAGATGGCAGGGGGCAGTGGATTTAGAGTTTAACCTTACATCCTGAAGACCTCGACCCAAGCATCCTGTGGGACCGTCTGCTTTAGACATGAAACAATAACATTTACTTCACAAAGGAAGGATATTTACCTTATGAGAGGAACAGGACAGCAAAACAAATCCACTTCAAAAAACAGCTCTGATCAGGTGTGGGATGCCCTTTGTTTGTCTCTCACCATATACAACTTTAATCCTTGTATTATGTTAAGGGTTCATTTCAGTTTTTGTGTTGATCAAAGTACTTGTTATCCTTTCTTTTTCTAGCTGAAATTTGGTGACTTTTCCTCATCTAGGGTCATGAACTGGTGTGTAAAATCTGGACCCTTTGATGTGTAGTGGAATGTCTGTGCAGAGTTTGTATACAAAGATGATGTTGCGGGTCATTTTGACCCAGACGCTTTAATGTGGGTAAATAGTTCCCAAAAAATCCAAAAAAACATGTCTCTTTGACATTGTGTTTTGATTGCCTCTGAGACCCAGAGTCAGGTGTGTGAAGAGAGGGAACTTTCTCACACTTGTCACTGTTCTCATGTCATCTCTTTTGTCTAGCGTACATCGGATTGACAACTGAATATATCCGTTGCCTATGAGTTGCTGCCCCGCACACATGAAACGGGCAACTCCCAGTATCAGGCCAGTCTCAGGAATAACAGCGCGTACATCGACAGCAACTGGCCTCAACTACAGTGTGTTTTCTGACATAAACTGTAGAGGGCGCTATACACACAACACACACATGTTGTTGGAGCACATCGGGTGATATCTCCGGATAGACTAGTTGCCGATAAGTAGAACACGGGCAACTGACTGAATCCATAGATCGAATGTTTATCTCCAGTTATAAGAGCGCTCACATCGACCTATTTCAACTGATCATCTCCATCATCTACTCTCAGTTGCCAAAAGCCGCCTTCAACTAGTTGTCTCCAGTTACTCTGTCGATGTGCGCTAGGCTTTATACAGTACAAACTCACCAAAAATGAGCTCCAGAAGGATGACATCTGAGGAGGCTGTTTCACAAATTTTTAACTGGGATAATGATGTAGAGGAAGAGATTTCAGAAACAGAGGATTTTTCAGAGACAGAGGACAATGTTATTGCTGATCCAAATTGTCAATTTTCCTATGATAAGGAGGATTCAGAGGACAAATCTTTGGTGAAGGAAAGAGGAAGGGAGGAATGAAGTAAGGTAGGAAGGAAAGAAGGGAGAAAGGAAGGAAGGAAGGAAGAGAAAAGAAGGGAATACATAGTTCCCACAGACCAATGAATGTCACATGACCTCCTCGGAGACGCCATCTTTGATGGCACGCTGCTGTGTTTGTGCATTCCATTAAACAGAAGAATGAGAATAAATGTAGATATTCAAACGCAAATTGGAAAAAAAGGGCAACTTTTGAGCAAATAATTGTATATTAATACAATGGCACCACAGTTTAACGTGCTACGGACATGTTTTACATATTTGATCAAATTATGCAGCAAAAATTAACAAGCAATGCAAACATTTCTCAAAAACTTTAGATTTATTACCAGTTGGAGCTCCATTTAATTATTTTAATTATATTAACAATTAATTTAAATAATGCTAATGCCACACGGACACTCTGGATTGCTGTTATTGTTTATTTCCGCGTTTTTGACCATATGTTTTGGTGAATGGTGGACAACTGATTTTTCCAGGCGTAAAGAGCAGTTTATTTTATGACACAGATCTTTTTACAGAAGCAATGCTGTTTGTGAACATTGTTTTAGCCCACCATAGAACTATTATTAGCTATTTAATACATTTATGTTGCCCTCGAGAGCCTCGGACGCGACACCGATCCTCCTCATAATAAAGTAATCTAAATAATGAAACTCTCAAGTTACCAGATATCAGCATACACAAGTTAGTACTGAGTAAATTACGTCTGTCAACACATTATAAGATACGATACGCACCTGACACAAAGTGCTCCGAGCATAGTCTTGCGTGTTTTGAGGGAGTTTCTTGCCTGTTTATCTTCGCAAGCCATAACCTCCGTGGTTGTTCTGACAAAAGCTTAGTCTTCTCACATTCATGAAGTCTAATGATGGGTATACTGTAAAATCCAAGTTTAACGGAACCTCCGGCACGATTTGAACATCCATTGACCCAGCAGGAGATGACCATTTTCAACTTTATCACGACATTAACACGTTTCAGCTTCTTTTTCTATTGTTTTGCCCACAGAATGCCAACACAAATGGCGCCGGGTCGGCAAATCCCCGTATGTAGTGACGTCATGTAGGAACTATGTATAGAGGAGGATGAACAGAGAAGGAAAACAGGATGAGAAGACGGAAGGAGAAAGCGTGCAGGAGGAAAGAAGGAGGGAAGAATTGTCATTTTGACCCGAGAGGAGGACAAGAAGATTAGACTAAATCTTTCTTAAATATAGTGTTGGAATTAAAAATGTATTGTATGTCACTTTTCTAAATATTTATATAACCTAAAATAAAGTTGTTATTGGTTTAACCTGTTTTCTTGACTGTTTTGAGTGCATTTACACAGTACGGGTCAAAATGACCCGCAACATAAACAATGTAATATTTTGTCAACATAATACAAGGGTTAAAATTAAGATATTAAATAGTGACAGAATTAGCTTTCCGGATAATATATTTGATAATGACGATTATGCAGATTCAAAACTGACATTCATCATTGCACATTCCAAAAGTCTCTCTCCTTTTATATAGGATGATGCAGTTTATATAGGACTGTGCAGTTGTGTATCTACTTTATTACTACTAATTACTGCTCAGCTACAAGAATAAAACTATTGTCTCCCTGATATTCAAATTGTATGATAAACTACTGAATTATATAGATGCTTTTAAAAAAAATCTAATCCTAACAATAACCAAAATACATAGAACATGTTTATAACCATAACAAATAAATGAAAATGAAAGGGTTTGTGAGCCTGACCCCTCGTCGGAGCAGAGGCTGTGTGTCTCTGTGGGCTCCAAGGGCGGCGGTGGAGGAGGGGGCAGCAGGTCCACGAAGTGCACGGCGGCAGAGTAGTGCAGCAGGCGTGGGCAGGGGGCTGTTTTCACCAACGCCGAAGGGTCTCCTGCAACAAGAAAAAATAAAAACAAATACGTTTTTTAATATGAAGACATTCTTAAAAAAAGTTTATAACAGAAATGGATTAAGGGGAAGAAAATGGATGGATGGACAGGTATAAAACATATGAAAACATGTTTTTTTTGTTGGTACTTCAAGGTTTTGTTTTTTTGTGACACTTTGCTTTTGTTGAGACAGCAGTAGAATTAGCGTCTATCTACTGTGTTAGTTCAAGTCTGTCCTTGTCTACTTTGTTATGTTTTTGTCAACAATCATTTACATTCCTGTATTGAAATACTTAACCAATTAACAGCTTGGCTCCTTTACCCTAGAAGAGTTTGGTCGTAACAATAGACAGGTATGAATCATGTGAATAGACATGTAGAATAGATGTTGAAATAGTAAGGATAAGCAAATCTATCAAATCTATGGTTTGTTCTTGCATACTGTACAGTATGTACAGAGCCTTGCAAAAGTATTCACCCCCTTGGCTGTTTGTGTGTTTTGTTGCATCAGTTAATTTACAGAACATGCCCACAACTTTGAAGATGTTGTCTATTTTTTATTGTGAAGCAAACAACAACTAGGACAAAATAACAGAAAAGGTCAACTCTACCAACTATTCACCCCCTAAAGTCAATAATTTGTAGAGCCGCCTTTTACGGAAATCACAGCTCCAAGTCCATCCATCCATTTTCTACCCTTTAATCCATTTCTGGGTCAGGGGGGTGGCAGTCAGAGATGCCACCCAAGTCTCATAGCACCAGCCCCTCACTGATCCTCTGCAGGTGGTGAGTCCACAGGAGCTGAGATCTTCCAGCGGGGGCTTTGGGCAAAGTGGGGTTAAGTGTCTTGCCCAAAGACACAACAACAGCAGTCATCAGTGGGAGTCGGTGGAGAAGGTGTAGAGGTGGGAATTGAACCCACAACCTTCTGGCCGTAAGGCCAATGCTCTACCAACTGAGCTACTGTCGCCCCAGTAGTCGCCTCCAAGTCGCTTTGGATAAGTCTCTATGAGCTTGCCACATCTTACACACTGGGATGTTTGCCCATTCCTCCTTGCAATTTGCTCCAGCTCCTTCAAGTTGGATGGTTTGCGCTTGTGAACAGCAATCTTTAAGTCTGACCACAGATTTTCTATTGGATTGAGGTCTGGGCTTTGACTAGGCCATTCCAACACATTTACATGTTTCCCCTTAAACCACTGAAGTGTTGCTTTAGCAGTGTGTTTGGGGTCATTGTCCTGCTGGAAGGTGAACCTCCGTCCTAGCCTCAAATCACGCAGTGGTACAAGTTTTGCTCAAGAATATCCCTGTATTTAGCACCATCCATCTTTCCCTCAACTCTGACCAGTTTCCCAGTCCCGGCTGCTGAAAAAACCCACAGCATGATGCTCCCACAACCATGTTTCACTTTGGGGATGGTGTTCTTTGGGTGATGTGATGTGTTGGGTTTGCACCAGACATAGCGTTTTCCTTGATGGTCGAAAAGTTCAATTTTAGTCTCATCAGACCAGAGCACCTTCCTCCATACATTTTGGGAGTCTCCCACATGCTTTTTTGCAAACTCAAACCGTGCCATTTTGTTCTTTCTTCTGGCCACTCTGCCATAAAGCCCAACTCTATGGAGTGTATGGCTTATTGTGGTCCTATGTACAGATACTCCAGTCTCTGCTGTGGAACTCTGCAGCTCCTCCAGGGTTACCTTAGGTCTCTGTGCTGCCTCTCTGATTAATCCCCTCCTTACCCGGTCCGTGAGTTATGGTGGGCGGCCGTCTCTTGGCAGGTTTGCTGTTGTGCCATGTTCTTTCCATTTGGTTATGATAGATTTGATGGTGCTCCTGGGGATCATCAAAGATTTGGATATTTCTTTATAACCTAACCCTGACTTGTACTTCTCAACAACACTGTCCCTTACTTGTTTGGAGAGTTCCTTGGTCTTCATGGCAGTGTTTGGTCAGTGGTGCCTCTTGCTTAGGTGTTGCAGCCTCTGAGGCCTTTCAAAAAAGGTGTGTTTATGTACGGACAGATCATGTGACACTTAAACTGCACACAGGTGGACATCATTTCACTATTTATGTGACTATTTATGAGATTTTTATGGGCTTCATAACAAAGGGGGTGAATACATATGCACATGCCAATTTCGAGTTTTTTATTTCTGAAAAATAGTTTCATGTACATATTTTTCTCAATTCACTTCACCAACTTAGACTATTGTTTTCTGGTCCATCACATGAAATTCAGATTTAAAAAACTAAAGACTCTAATGTAACAAAATAGGTAAAAAGCCAAGGGGGGTGAATACTTTTGCAAGGCACTAAAAGTCTTTCATGTGTAATCAGGGAATATGTCTGTTTTTCTTTGGCAGATTGATAGCCGAAATTTCAAATACATTAAATATCGTCCCGTTATACCAGCTGACAGATACAATATTGTCCATACCGTGTTTGGCTGCAGGGCCTTGGCTCTGTCTCTGCTTGTAGGCGTCAGAGGAGCAGATCTCAGCCTTGGAGGAAAGCAGGGGAACACTGTTGACCGCCTGCAGCTCTGTGAGGAACAGCAACAATCACATGCATCAACTCAGGGTTCAGTTTAAGCACTGGAGAGCACATCCATCACAATGACTTTGTCTACTTCTCTATGAGTATTACTTTGTGAGCTCAAGATTCAGTCATGTCATATTGTCAGTGATGGCCATAGACTGAATATAGATGGACAATGCTAACCTCCTAGCTCAATGAAGCTCAATAGGGACATAATCATGGACATGGTTTTTGCTCAAACAGACTCTGGCTCCTTTTGACTTGCATCAAAAAGTAAACTCCTCCATCCCAGAAACCATTTATGTCTCATTTTAGGTTGAAGAAATCTGTGGTTTAGTGCTCTCTTATCTCAGAGTTTGTATTGTGATATTGTCTTTGTAAATCCAGATCCAATATAAGGATTGACCAATCAAATGCCCCATATAAGGAAATGGGCTCCATCTAGCTTAGATTCAAATCGGCTTCTTCTTCATTCAGCAGGCTATGGTGATGCCAGCAGTGGGTCTGTCCACTCCAAATACACGGTCTATGGTGATTACTGACAATTTAATTATTCATTTATTTCACACAAATGGTATTACATTCATATATACAAAATGTTTAAACAAACAACTGTGATGTGACAGAAACCATACATTTTGGATTCTAAAATTAGAGCCATGTAAGGTCGCTATTTAACATTTTGGCCTGAGTGAGGGTGGTCCTCTTTATTTCACTTTTCGGTCTGAAGAAGCTGATCTAAAGATGTGATAGAGGCAGACAAATACATGTGGAAACAAATTTTATAGACTTTTACACACTTCAATTTTTGTGGGTTGAAGGTTGGGTACTTCAGCTTTAAGTAATGAAGTCATATTTTTCCACACAGGAAACTCACTTAGAACTCGACTGAAGCTGACCAATAGGTGGACTATCTCAAAATCCAGTTGAATCATGATCTTACATTAACATGGGACCATATGTAGTTGCTTGCTCCCTCACCTTGCTTGCTGTGACTGACCCCCATCCTGGGCTGCGGCCTTATCCCCTGTTTCCATGGTAGCGGTGGCGAGCCCTTGGAGGCCGGCTGGCTGAAGATCTGGATGGTCTCGGTGCCCTGGTCCCCGGCCTGGTGCTGGTGGGGCATTCTGGGGCAGCGTCCGGGGCTGTTGAACGTCTTCAGGTTGCTGCCGCTCAGGTCCACGTAGAAGGTCCCATAAACGCCACAGCTGTCTGTCACCATGGGAACAGAGTCTACACTGTGAGAGTCCTTCGAGGAGGGGGCGGGGAGACCTGAACACCAAATATGGACATGGTGGAAATGAGCAAAATGGAACAAGTTTGACTCTATTGATGGGGACATATTGTTCAAAATGAAATTTGAGATTGTAATTGTTTTCCCTTTTTTTTTGCGACGTTTTCACCGCAGGAACTCCGGGGTAATTTTCCAGGGCCACCCCCGTCGGTGCATGTCTCCACTGCAGGAATGAGTTTCGGTTATGCAGCAATCTAAACTCATGACGTCGGCGAGTGGTCCTACTGCAGTGGAGACACAGACACTGAAAGGACCAAGGGAGAGGAAGGTTCCTGTAAAGGTTCCACCCTGCTCCTTTTACCACGAACTCCTGCGGTGGAAACACGGCTATTGTATTCAGAGTGATTTAGACATAAGCTAGCTGCATCCATTTGTTCTGACAGGGTCCCTGTAGCAGGGGCATATACAAACTAACATGTTGCTAACATAGTTGCAAAGGCAAGTTACTGAAGGCACCTGTTTGACCTCATGGCTCTTATCCGAATTTATAAAGACAATATAAATACAGTGGGGCAAAAAAGTATTTAGTCAGCCACCGATTGTGCAAGTTCTCTCACTTAAAATAATGACAGAGGTCTGTAATTTTCATCATAGGTACACTTCAACTGTGAGAGACAAAAATCCAGGAATTCACATTGTAGGATTTTTTAAGAATTTATTTGTAAATTATGGTGGAAAATAAGTATTTGGTCACTTCAAAAAAGGAAGATCTCTGGCTCTCACAGACCTGTAACTTCTTCTTTAAGAAGCTCTTCTGTCCTCCACTCGTTACCTGTATTAATGGAACCTGTTTGAACTCATCTGTATAAAAGACACCTGTCCACAGCCTCAAACAGTCAGACTCCAAACTCCACTATGGCCAAGACCAAAGAGCTGTCGAAGGACACCAGGAAAAGAATTGTAGACCTGCACCAGACTGGGAAGAATGAATCTACAATAGGCAAGCAGCTTGGTGTGAACAAATCAACTGTGGGAGCAATTATCAGAAAATGGAAGACATACAAGACCACTGATAATCTCCCTCGATCTTGGGCTCCACGCAAGATCTCATCCCGTGATCATGAGAACGGTGATCAAAAATCCCAGAACCACACGGGGGGACCTGGTGAATGACCTGCAGAGAGCTGGGACCAAAGTAACAAAGGTTACCATCAGTAACACACTACGACGACAGGGAATCAAATCCTGCAGTGCCAGACGTGTCCCCCTGCTGAAGCCAGTGTATGTCCAGGCCCGTCTGAAGTTTTCCAGAGAGCACATGGATGATACAGCAGAGGATTGTGAGAATGTCATGTGGTCAGATGAAACCAAAGTAGAACTGTTTGGTATAACAGTTGGTATTTCTCTAAACTCAACTCGTTGTGTTTGGAGAAAGAGTTGCATCCCAAGAACACCATACCTACTGTGAAGCATGCGGGTGGAAACGTCATGCTTTGGGGCGGTTTTTCTGCTAAGGGGACAGGACGACTGATCCGTGTTGAGGAAAGAATGAATGGGGCCATGTATCGTGAGATTTTGAGCCAAAACCTCCTTCCATCAGTGAGAGCTTTGAAGATGAAACGTGGCTGGGTCTTACAGCATGACAATGATCCCAAACACACCGCCCGGGCAACGAAGGAGTGGCTCTGTAAAAAGCATTTGATGGTCCTGGAGTGGCCTAGCCAGTCTCCAGACCTCCACCCCATCAAAAATCTGTGGAGGGAGTTGAAAGTCTGTGTTGCTCGGCGACAGCCCCAAAAAATCACTGCTCTCGAGAAGATCTGAATGGAGGAATGGGCCAAAATACCAGCTACTGTGTGTGCAAACCTGGTAAAGACCGTTGGTAATCGTTTGACCTCTGTTATTGCCAACAAAGGTTATATTACAAAGTATTGAGTTGAATTTTTGTTATTGACCAAATACTTATTTTCCACCATAGTTTACAAATAAATTCTTTAAAAATCCTACAATGTGAATTCCTGGATTTTTTTTTCACATTCTGTCTCTTACAGTTGAAGTGTACCTATGATGAAAATTACAGACCTCTGTCAATATTTTTAGTGGGAGAACTTGCACAATCGGTGGCTGACTAAATACTTTTTTACCCCACTGTATATTAAACCCCCAGGATGATTGAGATCACTAAACCATGTTTTTTTATTAGAGCCCAATACTGTGAGTGTGACACAAATGGTTACTGAGTTTACATTCAATAGTTTCCAAGGTTACAGTTGCCATAGTGTTTGCTATAGAAAATGTTACCATGACACTTGCCATCCATGCTAACCGTTGTCATGGTTACGGTGGTTTTTCTGGCTTGATTTATGTCTGTCCGTTGTCATGGTGATGGTAATAATGGTTATCATAGTAACAATTGCCATAGCAACGGTAGCCATGTTGGTTACCAGCATAACAGTTATCATAGTGATTGCCGTGGCAACCATCATGGCAACTGTTATCCTTGTAACTATCACTATGGAAACTGTAAACAAACTCCCAAAAATGAACTTGCAAGAACTTAACATTCAAACAAGATTCACCAGATTGTCTGTTGGTTTTCATGGTAACAGTTCCTATGGTGATTGTTCCCATAGTGATAGTAGCCACGGTTGACAACCGTTACTATGGCAACTGCTGATATGGCAATCACTATGGCAACTACCCTGGCAACCATTGCTATGGCAACTGGAAACAATCTCCATCTTGTCATGGCAGTTGCCAAAGTGATGTTTCCAGGTTAACAGTTGCCATAGCGATTGCTATAGCAACAGTTGATGTGGTTACTATTGCACTAATAGAGCAATGAGATGGAGATCTCATAAAATAAATATTACACAATACTGTACGTCTGTTTCTCCTTTACTTACTGGCACTTTTGAGTTTGGACGTTTTCTGACTTTGTGCCCACAGGTCTTGGTACTCATTGAAGTGGCCCTGCCTCCATCCACCTGCGATCCACGGAGAGTCAGGGGCTGCCATCCTGAACCGGCAAAATATTAACAATAATAATATCAACAAGAATTATTTGTTAATGATAACAAATACAATGTTTGTGTGTGTGTAATATATACAGTATAATATCTATATGTATATTTTTTTCATTCATTCACCTGTGTTTTATGATCAAATCTTCTCCAGCCAGTCTGTGTAACCCTATGGACAAAAGATAATATTATAAAATCAAAGGTCTTCCTCCATATGCTCCTGTTTACAGTTGGTGAACCTCTAGTAAATATGTATAATTTTTTTCCGTAATTAAACTTAAAATGTGTAACCAATAACGTATATTATACAGACTTGGCACACTCAGAGAGATAAGCCAAGCCTGCTTGTGATCCTTTTGATAGTTATGGCTTACAGTCTCTTTTTAAAATATTCCAATGTTCCTATTTGGAGCATGTACAAGCTGTGATCCAATTATCAGCATTATAACAAAAATCTTGATATATCTCACTTTGCGGGTAATGAGTCTGTCATATATTAGTTTCACATTGTTAGCTGAATAACAGAAGTAATTCGACTTTTGAGCAATATAATATGTCGGAATAAGAGCATCGTGAAATGCAAACATTAAAGTGAAATCAGCAAGTGGCCGAGCCTTTATCTTTCCTGCTTCTAATAAATACAACACTGTGTGCTGTTATGTTGTTGCACATGATTTTATGAAACATAACGTTTAGTGATGTTTTTAATGTATCATTCATAAATAGTTCCACAATCAATTGCCTTGCATTGAACATATACAGTAGATAATTGTGCATTTAAAACCACCTTTGCGGTTGCCGTGTATGGGAACAAGCTGCCCCGTCCTGCTGTGTCTTCTGTACAGGCACACAGCTGCAGCCACGAGCACACACCAGAAGAGGACGCCAATGCTGCCGATCACCACGGGGTCCCGGAGCAGGCCCAGCACAGGGGACGGGGGCTCTGTGTGGTCCGCATTCTCAGGGAGGCTTCCAACAGGGCCGCCTAAAGCAGTGGAGAAACCATATCAAAAACAGCAAATACAATTCCCGGGTATGGGTTAGGGTTAGTATACTAGTATAAAAGATTACAAGTTTTATTTGGCAAATGTGTACATAAAAATGCAGTGGACTATCACTACTTTGATTTTTCTTCTTTCAAATGCACAATGTATCACCCCAATATATGGAGTAAAAAGACAATTACTTTCACATTTTCTTCTATCTAATATAAAAAGCTGATGAAAAAAAGAGTTGAAAACATGATCCTGATTTGAATTTAAAGTGATTGTCTGGAGTTTGTCAGAAAGAGAGACAGAGAGGTACTTGATTTGAAAAAAAACGACGCAAGCTCCCTCCCCCTTCCTTTCTGATTGGTCTACACCTACGTTTCCGTAACACTTTGAAATGTTAATCAGAGAACACATTATACATATACATTATTAATACACATGCACGGAGGTTTTTAGAATTATTTGTGAACGTTTTAATGAAAAAAATAATGTTTTTATGCACACAAAAAGCGATCGCGGCAAACCAGGAAGTGCTATTATCATGAATTGCACATTATAGGACACATCTGCAGAGGATCTGATTATGGATATAGGTTCAGTATATACATAAGTACCTCAGCGCGGATGTTCAGAATTCTTTGTTCAGTTTTCATGTTGTTCCAGAGCCTAATAGAGGCTTGATTCGGAGGCTCCGCAAAAACAAACAACTGAGCATGAGCAGCTACGAGCATCAGCGCAATGATTGACAGCCCTTGGCATGACTCGATTGGTTAACCTCGACGGCACCGTGGATTCTGAACTATAGCTAAGAGCAGGGAAGGCGGGACTTACCCGTAATATTAGAATGAATAAAATTACTTATTTTATATCAACATTTAAGGCCAGGAGGTCAATTTAACACATTTCCTAAAATTTGTAATTCATTTAGAGTTACAGACTATCACTTTAAATGCATTACTTGTTCCAAAAGAAATATTAAATAATAAAACCACAACACGCTGTCTTTGTGGGATATTTCTGCTTAAAGTCACTATTAGACACGATTAGCTGAATGAGGGCGGTCCTCCCTTTTTCACTTTCCTATCTGATCTTGATTTTAGGATAAGACTTGCCTCTCTCACATCTTCACAAAATCACAAAATACATGCATGTGGCCTCTGTTGAGAGCTATAGGGACAAGTCAGATGGATTGTATTGTATTGTTCCATTCGGTGGTTTGAAAGTTAGGTAGCCTATCTTTAATAGGACTCCCAGAGCACTCATTTTCACTGCTTTTAGTTAGGCTGAAGCAATTTATATGGAAGACCGTGTGTTGCTATGGTAACCAACACAAAGCTGATATTGCTCTCAACCAGTCCAGAACCAACACCTTGAGAAAAGGACATTACAGTAACTGCTACAGAATGTTGGTTGCCAAGTGACCAAAAATGGCTACATTAGGTTACGTTAGGCTACATTTTTGGGATATTTCCATGGATCTATTATAATAACTGGATAAGGTATTACTAGCTTGGAGCTGAAGGACCCATGTGCTCGCGGGATTCTTGCAATACTGCAGACTAAACAAGGTTAAATTCACGTAGACAGACATCTTCCCCATAGAACTCAATGTAAACAGAAAAAAAAACAGCAGGATTTTAGTGTCCCTTTTCTTCCTAAACTTTTTTTCTTTTTAAATCCTTCAGTTTTCTTTAAATTTACACTTTAGTGCCACAAACTCTGCTTGAAAAATTGTTAAAGATCACTTCCCTTGTGTGGTAAAGATATTGTTGTAATAAGTGCATGATAGAGGTGTGTAACATTTGACTCACTCAGAACAAATGCCTGGGGGTCACTTTGCTTCCCGACTCCGGCCCCGTTGACCGCTGCGATGCTGACCCAGTACGTGCTCCCTGCTCTGAGGCCTGAGATCTGCAGACTGTGGCGGCTGCTGTCCACGGTCCAGTTCTGGTACTGCTGCTGCGCCGAGTCCACGCACCACACCTGCAGAACCAGAACCAGCTTTAGAACACCAGTCCCACACAACAGGTCGACCGATACAGTATTTTACACTTGCTTCTTTATTATGCTAAAGTCAGAGATTTGTACTTAGGTCTTGCTTCTTCATGATGCTAAAGTTGGGGGTTTTAGATTTCTTTCCTTATTATGCTAAAGATATAGATTTTATATAGCTTCTTTTTTTGCTCTAGTTAGAGATTGTATTTGTGTGCTGTGTGCTCCTCAGTCCTACTGTCTGGAACTTGTGATGTCGATGTCAATGTTAATGTCAAATTATTTTGTGTAGCACATTTACAACAACACCAGCTGCCCAAAGTGCTTCACAGGCACGAGAGACAACAAAATTAGTGATAAAACACAAAAAATGGATACTTTGGTCTAAAAAAGACCCGAACAACTATAAGTAAGTCAGTAAGTAACTAATTAAGTAATCTTTATTTATATACACTAGCACCCTTCACAGACCAGAGTCACTAAGCGCTTTTTACAATTGTTGTGAGCATTTGTTCTCCCACTCCACACAGAGATGGGAGCATTCCTGATCTCTTTTACATGATTTTAGCGGTAGGGGACACTGGAGCACCCGGAAAAAAGCTAGGCAGGCACGGGGAGAAACTCCACAAGGGTCCGTGAGGTGGAATCGAACCCATGACCTTCTCGCTGTGAGGCACAAGCGCTAACCACTGCCCACCCCGCACTGACCCATCTGTCTGTCCCTCTCATGCTCCACGCTTCTCTCACTCTATATTACACCTATGGTCACGATGGCGATGATCAGTTCAGTCTCACCTGGTATCCCTGTATGATTCCATTGTGAGTGTCGTGTGGGGGCGTGTCCCAGCTCACACTGACTGTCGTGTTCAGCTCATGGTTCACTGTTAGAGACACAGCCGACGGAGCCGCACTGGGCACTGAGGGACACACACACCACACATACAAAAATGTAATACCACCATCGCGTTGCTCTTTTTTCTGCAATAAAACACAATCTTTATGAAGACCAGGTATGTCCAAACTAGATGAACTTTCAGTGTCATCCAGCCAACCTCAGCTCTACTGTGTACTAAGATTTGTTTTTGATTGTGTCACAAAATTCCACACACAGCACTAATCTAGCTGTGGTATGAATCAATAGTGAAATATCATTCCCTATTTTAAATCCCAGAACAGCTTGAAACCAGTCACAACAGTTTCTACTATCCATACTGTCAGCCCCTTGACAAGTCTGGTTAAGCCCTCTTACTAGAAAGTTTGGACACCCTTTGTTATAGGCTTTTATTTTCAAACCTTATCTTAAACTTAAAACAATCTTTCCAGAGTGTGAGCAGTGGATTTTTTTATGTTGACACTTCCAGATTTCCCATGACTAAACACATGTTTTGACCTACATTCAGTATTAGTACAAAAAGAGAAAACGGTCATTCCTTCAATACAGACTTCATCAGACAGAGTAAATCATCATCATCATCATCATCATTGTGTATTGGGTGGCAGCTCTGATTGCCACCCTCCTGACCCAGAGTAAAAAGAAATAGCAATTTGAATTCACAGTTATTATGCCCAGGGGACCTTAAACACTACATAAACTGGTTAATTCAGGATCTTTGACTTTGATCTTGAAGGAAAAAACTGTAATGCCACAATTTTCCAAATGTAGAGCTTTTGAAGGACACATCGTCAGCCTCTTAGCATAAATTAGCATTTTCAGACACTCTTGAGAAAAGAACAAAAGACTAATATCACAGCAACAAAAGGAGCTCTGCCTGGGAGTTGAGCACAGGCAACATGTGACTTAGAATCAGTACATGTGTTTACCCAAGTCATGCTGTTGACTGGCAATGGTTGGTGTCAGTTCAGAAAGAAGATCATGGTCAGCTAATGACAGAGGCTTTAATCCAGGTTATGACAGGCAAAAAAACACATTTGTTCTGAAAATGCTTATGGTAATTTTGCCAAGGAGGCTGAAAAAAATGTTATACTTGTTTTTTGTCTGTTTTTAATCAGGCTCCAACATTAATCCCTCATCACAAACAGATGGAAGAGACAAACTTGGACTTTTATGTCACATTCTAAAACATGTAAGGCCGAAGTAAGCGTTCATTGTCCTTGGTCTGACCTGTTTCGGGCACTCTGAGGTGGCGTGTGTTGCTCTCTCTCCCGTATAGGTTCCCTCCGTACGGTCGCACTTTGAACTCGTACTTAAATCCTCTTTTTAGTGGGCCGATCTGAGCCTGGAACCCCGGCATGGACACCTTCTGAGCAGCCCAGTCTGAGCTGGCGGGCAGCAGCGACCGATACAAGACCTCGAAACCATCCAGGTAGTGGGGCTGGGCTGAGAAGGACTGCAGCTGGAGAAGACAAAGGGAAAGACGCAAAATATAAAACGAGATGATTACAATTTGTGTGTGTGGTGTGAAGCTTAGAGAGCTCACCCTCCACTGGACGAGAGACTTGTTGGAGCCAGCAGCCAGAATGGACACCGCCTCCAGAATGACACGAAGAGACGAGAGCTCCTTGTGGAAGTCTTTCTGTGTGCTGTTTGTAGGCTCTGGTATCAAATAACCTTTGGGAAAATACAGAAGTATAAAATAAAACATTAAGTCACTTTTCTAAGGAAATGTGTGCTAAATATGTTCTTATAGTATGTTGCTCTTGAATAACTTTTTAAAATAATTTCTAAAGTCACCGGTCATTAAGATGGCTCCCTGTAAGAATGGTCATTGAGAAATAAAATCACTGAAAATGTGTTTGAATACAAGCATGGGGTTTTGACACAAGTGTGGAAGTGACACTGTAGAAGGCAACACAGACTAAAGCAATAGTGCGTAACTTTCTGGAGGTGGAATAGTGTATTCCAAGAAATTAAAAAGTTCAAACCATAACTTGGATTAGAATATAGCTGGTGGAGATACAACCACATCTTACAACACTACTTTAGGTATTTTTAGAGTCAGTCAAATTAAGGGCTAAACCAGGGGTGTCATTCATACGGCCCGCGGGCCGGAACCGGCCCGCCAAGAGATTTGACACGGCCCGTGGCTCATTTATGTAAAAATATAATAAAAATACATTTTAAAAAGCCGCTCCGCGACGCGATGCGCCGCGAGGCTCCGCGACGCGACGCCGCAGCGCCGCGCTCAGGGGTGAGTCCAGTGCATCTGTAGTGGCTCCACCAGAGCGGTGCTGAAGGAATAACATCTTAAACTACAAGACTCGGCGAAAAATACGGCACTTTGAGCGGAGAATTGAGAAAACAGAAGATAAACCTGTCTGGCCCTGAAGACACAGCAGTCTGTTTGTGCCCAGAGCGAGAGGTTAGTTCTGCTGCTGTAAAGGGAAGCTACCTGTGCTAACAACATTAGCATTAGCATCGCAGCCGCACAGTGAGAGAGAGTTTGTTAAAACTCTCACAGGCTGCAGACATGGTCTGAGAAACCACTCGCTTTTACCAACATGTTGCCATTGATAAGAGACTGATGTTACTGATGTCACATATTCATTTGTGGTGTTACTGAAACTATCAGAGGAGTTTTGAGCGCTGCTGCTGGTGCTGCTGCTGGTTCTGCTGTTGTTGCTGGTGTGTTGGACAGTGTGGACGGGTACCGATGGTAAAAACAGGTGTAGTGACAAAGCTGCAAATGGAGGTGATGATTTTTGGACATTTGACTGTATTTTACACAGAGACACTGCTGCAGTCGTTAAGAATGGATCACGTTATGGAAGTTGTTTTATTCATTTCAACTGAATCATGGTCAGTTTGATGCTTTCTCTGTGATAATAACATAACCATGGACCTTACCACACTGAAGATGGTTAATGTGATAATAACATAACCCTGGACCTGACCACACTGAAGATGGTTAATGTGATAATAACATAACCATGGACCTTACCACACTGAAGATGGTTAATGTGATAATAACATAACCCTGGACCTGACCACACTGAAGATGGTTAATGTGATAATAACATAACCATGGACCTTACCACACTGAAGATGGTTAATGTGATAATAACATAACCCTGGACCTGACCACACTGAAGATGGTTAATGTGATAATAACATAACCATGGACCTGACCACACTGAAGATGGTTAATGTGATAATAACATAACCATGGACCTGACCACACTGAAGATGGTTAATGTGATAATAACATAACCATGGACCTTACCACACTGAAGATGGTTAATGTGATAATAACATAACCATGGACCTACCACACTGAAGATGGTTAATGTGATAATAACATAACCATGGACCTTAACACACACTGAAGATGGTTAATGTGATAATAACATAACCATGGACCTGACCACACTGAAGATGGTTAATGTGATAATAACATAACCATGGACCTTACCACACTGAAGATGGTTAATGTGATAATAACATAACCATGGACCTTACCACACTGAAGATGGTTAATGTGATAATAACATAACCATGGACCTTACCACACTGAAGTTGGTTAATGTGATAATAACATAACCATGGACCTTACCACACTGAAGAAGGTTAATGTGATAATAACATAACCATGGACCTGACCACACTGAAGATGGTTAATGTGATAATAACATAACCATGGACCTTAACACACTGAAGATGGTTAATGTGATAATAACATAACCATGGACCTGACCACACTGAAGATGGTTAATGTGATAATAACATAACCATGGACCTTACCACACTGAAGATGGTTAATGTGATAATAACATAACCATGGACCTTACCACACTGAAGATGGTTAATGTGATAATAACATAACCATGGACCTTACACACTGAAGATGGTTAATGTGATAATAACATAACCATAGACCTTACCACACTGAAGATGGTTAATGTGATAATAACATAACCATGGACCTTACCACACTGAAGATGGTTAATGTGATAATAACATAACCATGGACCTTACCACACTGAAGATGGTTAAGCTGAGGTGCTGTGTTTTAGTGCTTTTTTCTATCTACTTTACCTTTGTGAGCAGGTTTTCTCTGTAATGAGCCTTAAAACAAAGCTAACACACAAATATTAATATACATATTGTGAAATACCATTTACAATGTAATATTGTAAATACGTTACATTATTTGCACTATGGAAAACTCACTGTTACATTTAAGTTTGTAACAGAAAACTGAGTATTAAAGGATAGTGTTTTAAAGGAAGTTTTAAATAAATTTGTTTATGTGCACAAAAAGTTGGACTTTGTACCATTTTTGGATATTTTTGAAGAGCATCTACTGGTCCGGCCCACTTGAGATCAGATTAGGTTGTATGTGGCCCCCGGACCAAAATGAGTTTGACACCCCTGGGCTAAACCCTCTGTCTTTTAAAATGGTCAATTGTGCGCAATTGTGAAATTGAACTTGTTTTTTTTATTTTACATGCACAACATGCTTTACTGCTTAGACTGCTACTTAAATTGCTTCCCCCGCGACTTGGCAACAGATTAAGCAGAAGAAAATGGAATGGAATGGAACATGCTTTACTTTATCTTTTGCATCCTTCATCTTGATTCTGGATACTATGGGACACCCAAATAAATTACATGAAGACAAAACTATGGTTGCTATCATAGAGTCTAATATAGCATGATGGGTGCTTGGATCAGGGTCTGTTACCTTCCACGCTGAGCCGTGCAGTGGCCGTCACCACCCCGGCATCGTTCACAGCAGTGCACGTGTAGCGGCCTGCGTCCTGAGGGGTCACATAGTGGATCTGTAGGCTCTTCTCTGGGTTCACCAGGTACCTGACCAACACACGCCAATATTAAGATTAAGATTAAGAGGTCCTTCATTCGTCCCACAGTGGAGACATTTTAGAACAGTAGGAATGAGGAGCTTTAGCAAACTTTAGCATAAGCAAGTAGCAAGTAAAAAATCTCTATCTTTGGAGTTATTCTTCTAACAAGAAAAATAGAACAAACTCTGTTATTGTGTTTTGTAAAATTTTACTGGATAGGTTTTTATTGCACTTAGAGTTAGGGTTAGGGCTACTAAATGAGTCATTAAGCAGTTCAACCACATTCTATATTCACCCTCTTCTTCTTTTCTGATTCAGTGATACAGGGATGATTTCACAGTATTGGGCAGGTCTTTCTAACGCTGAACAAAATCCGCAAATTGCTAACATGACCTGTTCACCATCTGCATATGAATACCTTCGGAGCTAAGCAGGGCCTGGTTAGTACTCATTGTGTCCTTAGGCAAGACACTTCACCCACATTGCCTATGTGTCTGGTGTGTGTTGGCGAATTCAACGGTTTTGTAAAGTCCTCCAAGAAAACGAGAATAGTCCTAGAGTCTTCAGATTTTTATGATATCAATGACATTTCACCAGCTAACATGTTGATGTTGATTTCTTTTGTTTTAGATTTTGCAAAGTGATCGAATAAACCATGTTCTTCACCTTCCATTGGGCAGAGGCCCCTGGTCCCGGCTCCACATCACCACCGGTGGGGGGTCTCCTCTGGCCTGGCAGCTGAACTGAGCTGACTGTCCCATCTTCACCGAGACGTTCTGAGGCCTCATCAGTAGCACAGGTTTCTCTGGCAACAAAATTATCATTATCAGCATTAGGGATGGACCTTTTTACAGATAAACGCTGGGATTATAATTCGGATTTCTGTTTTGAATGCGTGATCTTTATCACATGCTTTTTCACTTGGAAAATCTTTAATCTAAAACTGAAATACACAAAGATATATATTCTAATCTACTCGCTTAAAGCCATGGTACATTTTCAATATTTAACAGATAAGAATCCAATTTTGATAAAATCACGATTTGTCAAACTTTCATATACCTAACTACCTAAACCAATATATAACTACCAATATACCTAACATTCATAAATAAATGTAACTTTGTAATACAACAGATTGGTACTTTCACTAGTGTTCACATGCATGCATGCCTCCCACCCAGTGGGGGAGGGTCCCAGCTCAAAAGTGGCCAAAATGACGTGCGCTGACATGCTGCAAAACCACCCTGGGCCGATGGGGGTGGACTCAGAAGTAGAAGTAGCCAATGCTAACATATAGCGTTGGCAGACCTCTCAAAAACGTCTTTACAGGATGGACCAAAAGTTGGCTCTTTGCCCAAAGCTCCGTTCCACATGTGTGTCAATGCTGAGGGGGGTGAATTTTTTTGTTGTGAATTTTGTAAGTCTCTCGTTCAAATGAATGGAGCTGCGCCGGCTGACGCATGTGCAGATGCGTCAGCCGCGAGTGGGCGGGACCACTCGCGGCCATTTTGGATTGATCCAGTAGAGCACATATTTTGGCCCATTAGTTAGAACGGCGGAGATAGGCTTGACTCTGTCCGTTAATATATACAGTCTATGCTCCCACCCCAACAATCAGCTCTCAGCCCCAAAGTGTCAAATAGTGACTCACAGGGTCCTGTAAATGATATATGTTGTCTAATGATGAAGGCAGCATGTTTTGGTCTGATTTGTTCACAACCACTTATTTTAACAAAACCCTTTCTGTTGGAGCAAATAGAATGTATTATTCATGAGGGGGAAAGGTTCAGTACCCCAGCTTTACTGTCTGTAAGTTATGGTGTAGTGATGGCTGTCTTACCGAGCACCGTGAGCCGGGCCGCCCTGCTCTCTCTCACCCCCACAGTGTTGTGGGCCACACACACATAAGACCCAGAGTGGCTCCTGTCCGCAGGGGCCAGGATCAGCTTCCCACTCAGCTCCTGACCACACAGACACAAGCATGACCTCAACCAGGGAAGACAAGCATCTACACAACAAATACGAGGCATGGTGTGTGTTTTGGCCCTTAAACGTGATCTTGAGACTATTAACCTTTGCAGTAAATGTTTTAGATATAATTCCCTTTGTACAAATGTATGGATAGACATGAAATATAGAGTAAGAGCAATGATCTCATATAATGAAAAACAAAAATACTGCTGGATTAAGATTTGATTTCAATAGTCTGACATGTATCTGTAACAAAAGTGTAACAAACCCCTAGCTAACAGTGTAGAAATTGAATTACCCAGGGAGATATACGGAGAACCTATGCCTAAAAAAAAATACAATAAAAATGAGGTTTCTTCTGTAAAATCTTTTTCAACTCTGAAGAATATTATTTTGAAACACTTCTTAATTGAACAGCTCTTGTCTGGTCCTTACGGTGTAGTGCTGGTCAGTCTTGTTAATGGGCAGCCCGTCTCTCTTCCAGGACACATTGGGCTCCGGGTGACCCACCGGGGGCCCGCAGTTCAGAACAGCCACCTCCCCCTCCGCGACCACCACATCACTGGGCTGTATGCTGAACTCCTCCTGCAGCGCTGACACACATGCACCAATGTTAGTCTCAAATGATTTTAAAGATGGCTGCACCTTGCATATCAACTGAGCAGCACTGCCACCTGGAGGCAACAAGGCGCCAATGCAGATACAGCAATCTTTTTTGACAGAAGCCAACATTCATGCAAACATTAAATGAAGCGGAGGGCTGTGATGGGCACGCTGGAGTCTGGGCATGCCTGCTTTATATTAATGACAACCACTCGTTTTGCCAGAGACATAGTGGGAGCTCCATCTTGGTGTGTTTGATTCTCTGATCTGTGTTGGCGATTTCAACGGTTTTGTTAAGTCCTCGGAGATAACTACTGTTGTGATTTAGGGCTATACTGGAATAATTTTAATTGAATTGAAACAAAGTTTTAATGGTAAAAGGTTAAAATACAAGTTTTGATTGTGAATCAAAAAAGAATGCTATGATGAAAAAAAAGCTTAAAGGTACATAGGAGGATTTTCTACTTCCGGGTGGATCATCAAGACTATTGGTCCTCCTAATTGTCAATCATTCTGAGGATACGTGCTCGTCAAATAAGACCAGAGAGTTCTGTTCAAAAAGTGGAGAGGGCGGTTCTTTCCTCAAATATGGGAAAATCCTCCTAATATACCTTTAAGTTGATAAACATATTGAATTACGTGAGTCGCAGACCACACGTTGTGAATGGGTGACCAGGAGCCACAGATAAACACTGAAGATTGATAAAGCTGTGTTCTTCAGTAATACACCTCACTCGCATTGCTACTTGTACAAATCTAGTGTGTGTGAAGTGTGGGTGTTGGAGTGACATAGTTTGACTATTGGACAACAATACATAAATAAAATGTAACTATTTTACTGATCAACATTGATATAAAAAATATAAAGCAAAATAACATAATCATAAAGTCAAGGTGTACAGTATAGTGTCCCTTAGAGCTTTTAGAGCTCAGACAGGAGCAGCAAACTGATCACAGGTCTGATAAACTAACAGTTTATCAGACCTTAGCACCATTCTTACCCCCCTCCAGCCACATAAACACTGACATTACAGCTTTGCACTTCTGTCAACACATGCTTAAACTCGGCTGGAACTATCCAGGTCAATATAAGCCTATCCACTGCTTTACAGCCACACATGGTTTGGCTTTGACTTCACATCATCATTTGATTTGTTTAATCATAATCAATAATACATGATTTTCATTTCTCATATTGTAATACATTGCAATGACAGAGACAAAACAGTAGGCATCCAACATGGGTAACAAATAAAACCATAAACCAGCTTCTGCAGTCTCATCCCTTCTCTACAGTACACTCTGACCACACATATGATAACAGCTACAATTCAGGGATATTTGAGTGAAAGCACAATATTCCCATATTTCTTATTAAACTTGACTTAATCATCAACTTGAGCAGCAAAATAAGAATTCTATGGATGAACTTACAGTCCAATGTCTAAATGTAAATTGGTTGGACAGTTGCCATTCACAGGAAGCAAATATTGGCACTAAGTTCAACAACTTCTCAGTAAGAAGTAATACACAGTCAGTTGGGCGGCACGATGGCTGAGTGGATAGCACTCTTGCCTCTCAGCAAGAAGGTCCTGGGTTCGAATCCCGGCCGGATTACTTACTTACTTACCCCTACCACTAAAAACATGCACAATAGGTCTGGCATGCGCCTCCTGTTCGGCGACCCCGCTCCCATCTCTGTGTGGAGTGAGAGGACAAGTGCCCAAAAATAATAACAATTGTAAACCGCTTTGTGACTCTGGTCTGTGAAAGGCGGTATATAAATAAAGATTACTTACTTACTTACTTAAAATAACAAGATTACAGGTAGATTATGAGGAGCTGATTGACAAGTAATGAGAAGGTAGGCTCAATGTATTTGTTTACCTGGAAATCAGCTTTCTTTGGCTATTATTCTCTACAATATAGAATCATACTTGTATAGGTGAGCCATTATGGAACATAATTTTGACATATACAGTTGTGTAACACGGTACATTAAAAAGAGTGAAGATACAATCCTTCAGTTTTATGCACAGCTAAACAGAGCTGTTTTTAACTCCTCCAGCCCAAGCCTCACCTGCTATGTAGAGCGATGCGTTGCGGCTGATGGCTCGGCCTGCACTGCTGGAGGCCACACATGTGTACACCCCCTCGTGGGTCAGGCCTTTCTTTCCTCCGATCACGCTGAGGAAGAAGATGCTGCCCTCGGACAGGACCATGGGCTGGAGGTGACTGTCCCCCAGAGCAGAGTCCACAGGCAGGCCGTTGTGGAGCCAATGGATGCTGGGCTTGGGGCTCCCGTCCGCCCTGCAGGAGAGTGTGGCGGGGCTGCCCGCTCTCACCACCAGGTCTGAGGGGTGGTGCACGATGCGAGGTGGGCTCTCCTCCGCTCTCACTCTGAAGCCTGGAGACCACACAGGAGAAAGCAAGGGTCAATGAAGTGCAACAGATTTTAACAATTAAAGAAGATGTATGTGTTTATTTTGTCCATTGAACACATGGAGAATGTTCGATATGTTTAAAGTGAAATATCTTAATGTGATAATAATTTGTCGGAAAGTGGAGGCCAAGAATGAAACTGAGGGTCGTGAGATGATTTAAAATGCAATGTTAAGAAATCTATTTTAGTCCAAGAAGGTTAATTTGATCTTCTGATAGAGTCTACAAGTTGATTCTCTTTTTAAGGCGGAGCCTTTTTTATAAGGCACGAGGAGCCTCAGATGACCACTGATGTGCAGACAAAGTTGTCAGGTATTGAAAAAAATCACTGATCTTAAAAACAATAATAATTTGGATGACGTTTCATTGTTGACACTTCTTTAAAGACCAAATGTATAAATACAAGGAAGAGTTCAAAAGGAGAAGCCAGAAGCAATAATAGCTTTTGTAACACATTGATGAGACCAATGTATCACGTTCTAGGCTCGTCTTGAAACCTCACAGCTGCAGTCAGAGGCGGTGAGTGGAGCTGCCATAAAGGGAAAGGGAAAGGAGGAAAGTGTTCCTGGTCAGCAGGGTTCCTCTGTGGGTAAATCTGTCTTATCTACTCCGCTCATCAGCCGCTGACCTGCTGTGACAAACTGACAACAAACTATGGCTGTAGCGACGGTCGACCAAAGTAATACTTGATTTACTGAACACATTCTGGGTCGATCGACTGCTGATTGAATGAGGGGAGTTGGAAGTTTATAAGCGTCTGATTCACCCGAACCCTTTTCAGAACATGTACGCAAGAATGTATGTTATTCGGTTTTGGTGGATATGTCTTGTTACTGTTCTGAAATAAACATCTCAATTGATTGATAGTTTATTGTCCAAATAGATGATTTATTGAGTCATGGAAGCTCGCAGCTGTCACGGGGTGGGATGATGGAGGACTCAAATGCTAGAATGCAAAAAATTATGATTTAATAAAATAAAAGTCCAGGTGAAAACTGAACTCAAAATCCAAGAATACAGAACTAGGAACAAAGACAGAACTTGACACGACGAAACAGGACATTGACATAACAATGGACCAGCAACATGTGGAGAGGGGCACAGGGTAAATATAGACAGGGACACAGGTGAAACACATCAGGGCGGGGCAGACCATCAAGACAGGGGAAACGCCACAGAAGTCAAACTCAAAACCAAACCACAGAGAAACAATGTCAAAATAAAACCAAAAATAAAAGCCACACCATGACAGCAGCGATGGTAAGCATGTTGAAGTGAGTGAATGTCTGCATCCTCAAATTTAGATACAAAACATCAAGTCATGAAATCATGTCGTGTCCAGTTAAAACAATCTCTAATCGCCTTTGTTTTCTCTATAGGATGTTGGTCAAGTTTGACATAACAACATAAACACCTGTGGCTTAAAAATTAAAGACACTTGCATTCAAAATGTGGCTAGTGTGGTTCATATAAAGGTTTACTTAATAGTGCCGCAAATATTGCAACTAAACGACCAAAGACAGACAGCACTACATTGACTAAATAAAATAAGTGAGGAGACATGTGTAGAAAGCTGTAATGAAAGTGCCCTGGGTTCATCTACTTGGTGCCTATTTATATGTGTATACTTTCATTAATTAATTTATTTAATAGAGAGAATTGAACACAATCAACATATAAAACACTACAACATTTAAATCCAATAATTTGCAATGTCCGTTCCTGGAAGAGCTTTTAACACAAACAAATTATTTTTATTATTTCTTTGTTACATTCACATTATACAAAGGCAGGTGTCCCTCAAGTCACAGATGGTCACACAACTGGCTTGTGTTAAGAAAATGATTCAGTTTGTGTTTAAAATCAGCACAGTCCATTAGAGATGTTTTGTATTTCCTCAGATTGGAAAAGATCCGTTTCATTGTAAGAGATTCTGTTGATAAATTTTCTGAAATTTGGAGCCCTTTGTTTTCTTTGCTGAAAGATCTAGATTTTCCTTTCGTGCCAGACTGAATTCTCATTTCTTTTTATACTTTTGGCTGCCACTGATTTGCTGAATGTGGATATTTCTGATCACCTGTCTGTTCATTTTTGTTTTTGGAATTCATTCTAATTGCTTATGAATGTTTTTTTTTTTTTGTATTGGCATTGTTCTTTATAGTGTACATTGCATTGTTTATTATGTGCCTAAAACTATAAATAAAGTTGAAAAAAAAATCAATCAGCCCAGTCCAAGTTCAGTTTAAGCAAAGAGCCGCTTGTGTGAATAGTACACGTCACACCTTTCCACCAAAATCTACAACAAACTTACAAGAACTATTTGTACATGACCTATAGGCTTTATTTCTCCCATGTCTACAACCTCTACACAATTCTTTCTGCCTCTGTTTATTATCTTAAGTTGGCACTAGGTCTCAGCAGTTAAGGTTCATTGGAGCGACCACAGACTGCTATCTACAAACACTGGAGCTGCCCTTCCAACAAACAATGTCTATTTGAAGCAGAGTCAGAGGAATGCCTTTGTTTGGACTTCCCCGGGGCCTGATGGTCACTCTGGAGGAACCAGGAGTCAGGCCGAGCTTCCTGCAGCTCTGAGCACATCACGCCCAGCATCCGCAGCCCAACAATGGAGCCCACTTCAGGGGAACTCAGCCATCACTTGCGGGTCAAGGAAATGCTATATTCCATTACATTATCCCGGCAAGGAAAAAAGTCGCGACATGGCAGTATCCAATTCAGTCATTACACATATCAAAGAACTCAAAAAAATGTCCATGTTATGTTTTCTCAGATTTGCAAATTATTCTTGCTTATTTCAGATGTATAATTTCTCTGCAATGCAATTACTAATACTGGCTTATATCAACCCAAATAAGGATAACAATAATAAGGAGATCCGTTATTCGTCCCTCAGAGGAGAAACAGTATACTTAAAAAATAACAATTTAAAAAAAAATCTCCATCCATCCATCTTCTTCCCCTTAGTCCATTTCTGGGTCGGGGGGGTGGCAGTCAGAGGTGCACCCAGTACACTTAGCACCAGCCCCTCACTGATCCTCCTGCAGGTGGTGAGTCCACAGGAGCTGAGATCTTTCAGTGGGGGCTTCAGGCAAAGTAAGTTTAAGTGTTTTGCCCAAGGACACAACAACAGCATCAGAGGGAGTCGTGAAGTAGGTCTTACGGTGGGCTCGAACCCATGACCTTCAGGCTCAAAGGCCAATGCTCTGCCAACTGAGCCCCTGTCACCCCGGAAAAAAATAAAAACATATTCTCTATCTTTAGCTTAACACAGAAACAAAGTTTCTTTGTTAAGCTAAACAAACTTACTTTACTTACTTACTTACAAAGTATAAAAAACAAATATAAGTTACACAGATCTAGTAATATTTGATCTATAGTGCATACATTGAACATGACTTACTGTATTGAGAGCAATCATTTCAGTCTCTAAGCAGGTATCAGCCGATGTTTAAAGCAAACACATTGTATTGTTAATGAGGATTGGTGGAGGATCCATGTATAAATCTCAATGCAAATACTTGAATTAATAAATAAATCAGTATATAACATCCATAAATGTGTATCTAACATTCTATTTAGTATTATTTTACCATGTTCATCTTTAAAGCTGCACTGAGTAAGATCTGATGGGGTCTGCGCTTGTTACCATGGTAATCAGCCATGCTTGGAGTGTTCATGATCATTTGATGACAGCTTTTTACCACCACAGGTATGACTTGTAAGTTCATATGAATAACTTTCGAGTCAAAACAACAAAAGCGAGTGGTGGATCCTGCAACCTGAAAACTGTGAAGCAATAAATATGCTGATATTGCGCCATACATTTAAATAGACTTACATTATGATTTCTACCACTTGTGAACTGGTAATTATGAATGTGTTGTATTCAAGTGCTTTTGTTGTCGTAAGGAAAACTAAACAGCAGCTTTATCTCATTGTGCTGGTGTTATATATGTATACAACTGTCGCACAACATCACACTGTCATTTGAATATTTCATTTATGTTATGTGAGGATTCGGAATAATGCACAAAATCTTAAACAATCTTAAACTTCCTGTTTAAAATATATCAGACAAACAGGGAAACAGCTTTTCTGGTGTGAGAAACTTAAAGTTGGTTTAGCAAGAGTTGTGCCATTATTATTGACTTTGGTTTCTACAACAATTACACTCTAACCCATTCATTTCAACATGTCAACATGCACATGATTGGCTGAAAGTACGTTATTTACAACAAAACTATGACCGTCCAGAGTATTTCTACCACTGTCCACTATTTTGAAAATCGTCCAAACCTCAGCAACGCAGAACTCAAAATTATCACACAGTTTTCCAGTAGAAAATACGAGATGAAAGGCCATTCATGTGCAATTTCCCACTCGACAAATTGTATTTATCATAATTACCAGAGCACACGAAGGCGCTGACCATTATTACTTAACAAAAATGACGGTAATCAACTTGATTGACTTTCCTCACTTATCAGGGCTCGAGAGTCTAGAGTACCGTACAATTACAGTATGTGTATTTTTCACTGCATTAACAGGGCATAAAAAGACCGTCAGAGTCTTACATTAAGTGGAATCAAAATGCCACAATGGTTCCATATGTCGCCTGTCTTTGTGGGCAGTGCTCCACAAAGGCCTTGAGAACTCCATTCATTCTCTGGAGCAGGAAATACCTACATACAGCAAACAATAGTCTCTTCGGCCACATTGTCAAACTGTCTTTTCACATTCAAAATACAGCGCCACAACAACTATTCAGAAAAGTTCAAAATACTAGTTCAATAATTGATTTCAGTCTAAAGACAATAGATAGGTTAATCAAATGTATTATCACTATGGCAGTACATGTATATAAGTTTGTATTGAAAATAGGATATCTGTATGGCTGGTTGGTTTTATTTGTTAATAAAAAAAAAGTTTGACAATTATCAAAAGTACTGTAGTATCACACATCAGTGCAAAGTAACATAATAAAACCTAACCTAATGAAAACTGAACATACACGATGTGCTTGAATCACATGTTGGCAGGGAAGAAATTAAGAGTTGATTTGCAACAACAAAAAAACACTGGGGAAAAAAATGGATTTGTGAAAAGCCAGATCTATTTTAGTGACATACAAATACAGTTTCAGCCGTTCTTGAGCAAATTCTTTCAAATGCACTGCCAATAACAACTTTTTAACAAATGTTTGTTTTTGTAATTGACCTCTTCAAATACTTACAGCCTCAAATGATCAGTTTAAACATTATACAAGTTGACAAATACATCTGTCACAAACTATATACTGTACGTGTAGTGTTTCTCACAATAAATGTCACCAAAACTAAATATATTTATACTAATATCAATGGCTTACAAAAAGTCAGCCAAAGGTAACCACATCATGCACAGTTGTTCTAAAATTACAAATATGTTTATGCCACTCCCTATATGTCCATGCAGTCATATCATGCATCTCCTATGATTAGATGTTTTGTTCTATTTTGTTTTTTTCAGCACTTAGAGTTGCCTTTTGTGTGAATTGTGCTATACAGATAAACTTGCCTTGCGTTAATAGTAGCAAATTTACACTGTGAATGATAGCAATGAAAACAGATGTCCACCATGTGCGTGTAATTCAGCATAAAACTTTATTTAAACTTACCTGACAGAAGTCCACACGACAACAGCAAGAAAGCAAAAGACAATCCGCTCATATTTACGTACGAGTTAAAGTAACAGCGAGAAAAACATATATATTATTAGGAGCAAAAAGCAGTAAATGTTGTGAGTGTGGGTAACGTGTTGGTATCCGTGCAGGAGGGAGTAAAAGTAAAAACAGCCATGACAGAAGAAAGGACGAGAGAAGTGAGAAGTGTGCGTGTTTTTCATACGGCCCCGCGATCAAAGCTCAGGGGCCAGTCCTCAGGGGCCAGTCCGAGTCCACACACCACTGACTTTCAAAATAAAACTAAAGCTTTTCGACGGAGGAAGAAAGTGGCTGCATCCAATTTTAACTAGGATGACAATGGCTGCGTCCGATTTGATGTAAACAAGTCTGTCACCGTGGTGAGATCATAGATGAAAGATGAAGGAGGACCCAAAACATCGGGAATGCAAAAATAATGATTCAAAAAGGATGATAAAATAAAAGTCCTGGGTGAAAAAAATCCAAATGAAACATGGGATCCAGGAAAACAGGCAAACAAAAAAGATGGATGAAGACAAGCAAAGACATCGTTATTGTCACAGAGAGACACAGTAAAAACCATTAGGTGGGGCAGACAATCAACCAGGGTAACAAGACAGGAAGTAAAACTAAACTAAAACCACAAAGACATTAAATAGAAATAACACGTAATAAATAATAAGTAAAATAACACAACATTCACACCGTGACAAACCTCTCTTATCCTTCAGACAGGTTAGCTCCAGCTTTAATAACGTTATTTTATCGATTTAATTTTTTTTGAATTATTTTTAAGTGAGGATAAAACTTCTGTTGGGGGTAAATTATTTGAGATCAAAAACCTGCTGCAGTGTTTTAATATGTTAATGTGGCATACATGATAATAAGAAGAATAAAAGTCACATTTAATGACATGTCAATCATCTTCAGGGGACTCGACTCAGAGCTGCAGACGCTGAAGCAGCAGCTCGAAGCCACAGGGTTATGAGCCAAGGGGCAGGAGCTCACCGCAACCCTCTACGCTTCAAAGGAGGTCTGCTGCCTCACCGTCAAGCTCCGAGGAGGAGGTCTGAGGAGGAGGTCTGAGGAGGAGGTCTCTGAGGAGCAGCGTGGAGATAAGCAGACCAGAACTTTATCAGTACCCACCCTCACTCAGCCAATCAGGTCCTAGTATGTTAAAGATAAAAAAACATTCCTCATAAGATAGAGACAGAATAGCGGGGTCTGATTTGTACACAACATGTGAACTCTTTCTTTTGGGACAAACACGGTGTATTTGAAGAAAAAGAAAACTGTAGCTTGGTGTAATTTACATTGTTATATTGGTTGAACATTGGTATAACTAGCTAGAACAGGGGCGTTAAACACATTTTGGTCTGGCCGAAGTAAAAATAAAAAAAAACATAGCTGGCTGGGGGTTGAAAGTAAAAGTAGTTTTCGTAGTGGAATATTTCTTTATGGATATTTTATAAAACTTTTGAAGGAACTGTGGTTAAAGTTGAACTCATCATTCTAACAACAGTATGCAGGACACAGTGGTTTCCTCTTGAATGCTTCGGTTATCTGAAGGCCGAAGCTACTGGGGGCGTGGCAGGTGCTGATTGGAGTCCTCCATTGTAGAAAATCACATGCACACAGCAAACCTTTGATCGTGTCTCTTTGTAACATCAATAAACTGTGTTCTGTGCCTCTACACGAGCCCAGACCCCCGTCTCGTTTGTCAATGTTTGTCAAACTTTTTTACAACATTATGAGGGAATTTTGACAGAATTATAAATTTCATTTACCATCATTTTGTTTGAATAATATTTTCAAGTAGATATTACTCAACACAATTCTCTTACTATTTGTTAAGTTAGCTTCAAGATGAGATATAACCTGTCATCTGTCATGGTACTTCTTACTATCAATGCTGCAAGTCAATCATGATTTGAAATCTTTTCAGAGATCACAAAAATAACAATCGCGGGCTTTTGTTTGAGAGCTTGAACATAACTATATATAATCTGGATGTGACGCTAGTGTTCTATTCAGGCTGCAAAAAAGGTTTAGGTTTCGGACCCAAGAAACACTTATATATAAACGTAAACAGTATAGACAATTCCCATGCAACAGGAAGCCAAAGTTTCCCCTGTTCCTTTTTGACAATGGAAGGAAATAATGTAGCCTGCATGTGCATTAGTGCAATTAGTAAAGCAGCTGGACTCCTTGTCTAACAGTTGGGACTTCTACCACCCATAATAAAAGACTCAATCATTCTCAGAGCAGAGATGGCTGAAAGATGCTGCCGCTGAGTTACGGAGCCTTCAGTGCCAAAGCCGGGTCGACCCACAAATAAGTGAACTAGCGCCAGTTCATTCCCTCCAATGGTCACATAAATAAAGTATTGTTTATTGAACTGTGCTTTGTGCATCTCCCAAAGACGGAGGCTAAGTGATGGATGTTTTTATTGATCCAACAACTCGGTCTTGATGGCCCCAGCATCGGGCAGCATTCAGCGCTTCACAAAGGCTTTAGAAAGGATGAAGGATGAGTCCCAGGCCAAAACACAAGCGCTGGGAATGGTACGGAGCGGAGAAAGGGGGTGTCTTTCAGGCCAGCGACGGAAAGGTCAGGGGAAGTGTTAATTTGGGCAGAGGAGGGCGAAATGGGAGGTGGAGAAAAGAAAGAATGTGTCCCGTGTCCGGTGAGGAATGTGCTAAAAAGTGACTTCAGAGTAAGTCTGGGTGCGTCTGAGGGAAAGCCATCAGCAATCAGTGTCACATGAATGGGAAAGTACGTGCTTTGAAGGAGAGGCAGGCTCATGAGACTACATATTTTGGTGGTGGTTGGAGAAATTAGTTGAGATTAAAAGCCTGCCACCGCATTTTAGTATGTTCATTGATGTTTCCAGTGTACCTCAGTCCTGTTCTACAAAAAAACTGGGAAGGAGGCTGTGGAAAGAGGATCTAAGGACCAGGGATGCTCTGGGACATTTTACTACTTGCTTAAAGCTGGGTACCTAATGTCGAGAAATGAAGGCAAGGCAGAGGCGATTGCACCTGTAACACGGTTTATTTTTGAGTCCCCTCGGATGGAACAAGTGGAGACAAGAGTTTATTTTATATGATTTGTATCAATATGCATAAGAACAGAGATGTCATCACATGAGATATTAATGATGCATGATTAAGACACAGATACAAGTAGTAACAATGTGGGCAAAACAAGTTTAGTTCTTCAGATAATAATATTTTGCAGTAATACAGATGTAACAGGGGTCTACATTACTAAATAAGCAGGTCAGCTTACAAACTAACTTACTCTCCCCATAAATAATTTATGTTGTTTGTCTGATCAGAATTTTTTTAAACAAGCCAAACCAAACACTGTCTTTATCTGAATAGATAACATGTCATTTATTATAAAACAGCCACTATTTGGGGGAGTGTGGTCCTCTCTCTCTGAAAAAGCTGATCTAAAGATGTAACTTAGGCCAAAACAATTGGTTACATAGATTTTATTATATAGTTATTATTATTATTATATGGTTTTAATTCCCACCTCTACACCTTCTCCACCGACTCCCACTGATGTCCGCTGTCGTTGTGTCCTTGGGCAAGACACTTAACCCCACTTTGCCCAAAGCCCCCACTGAAAGATCAAGGCTATGCTCACACTCAGAGAGCAGCCGTCCTCCTGTGGACTCACCACCTGCAGAGGGTCAGTGAGGGGCTGGTGCTATGAGACTTGGGTGGCATCTCTGACTGCCACCCCCCTGACCCAGAAATGGATTAAAGGGTAGAAGATGGATGGATGGATGGATGGTTTTAATTCCTGTGAGAATTACTTAATCTGTTTGTTTTCAATTTTAATAGACAAATTTGATATTCTGCTGTTGGCGATTAAACATTTTGTGAAGCCCTTTTGATACAACCGCTAATTTGATTTTGGGAAGCGTCGAAGATAAATTGATTTAAACATTGACTAAAGCATTTGTTTAAGCACTAAAGCTGGGGTACTCAACTTTTGAACCAATACATTGAAATAGAATAATTAATGAGTTTGGGTCTATCACGAGTTTTTACATTTCTGGATTCTTTCATGTCTTTAGATCAGCTTTTTCAAACAGAACAGTGCATAAGAGAGGCCCACCCTCACACAGCCAATCAGCTTTCAGCTCAAAACATCAAGTAGTGACTCACAGGGCTCTAAAAGATAGACAAATTTTCGTTCACAATGTTTACTAGACTCTAAGTTGCCATTTTTATGTTTAAACATAATCATTTGCCTTTTTTCCTCCGAAATTAAGTTGATTAGTCCAGTGAAGTGTACTTTTGTTTAGTCTAGTGAAGTTCCTGCTCTCAATGCAAATGTTGTGTAAAACTGATTATTTTTTCTCTCCGTTACATCCCTGGGTATGGTATGGTTTTTATTATTACAGGGACAGTGTCCAAAAGAAGAGATGCATTGTGGTTGTAGCAGCAGTGCTCATTTACACCTGTAGTCCCTGAGCAGGTTGTTGTAAAACAATAAAATAGATGGATAAATGACCATACATGTAGAAATAACTATTGTAAACCACTTTGTGACTCTGGTCTGTGAAAGGCGGTATATAAATAAAGATTACTTACTTACTTACTTACTTATCAAGCAGAAATTAAAATGTAAATTTCCACAAGTTACAATCAAACCACCCAGCCCCCATTCTTCACTTTCTCTCTATACATACTGAGCTCACACTAATAGATAATAGCTCCATCTAAACAAACTACTTGCCCCAAAGTGCATAGATCTGTTTTACAATTCATACATCCAGACTATCCACAAACAGAGAATACCTGATCACACTGAATGAAAATACAGAATGAGAATATAGGACGTAACAGGTGACAACAGACACAAACCTCTTCACTGGGATTCTGAAAAGGAAAAGGCTGAAATCAGAGTGAACTTGTAGAGATGATTCATTAATCACATTTGTTGAATATTTCTAACATATAAGACATTCAGACCCATGTGTGTCCCAAAAGCCTCCTATGACTAAGTATTGAAAATAATCATTGTCTTACACAAAAAATCTTCCATACAAACTTAAAACATCAACAGTTCATTACTCATCCTGACAAGTGCCTTTTTCATTCTTTTGATTAATCACTTCTCATATGTACTGCAACTTCTAAACAATACAACTGTTAGTTTGTGATGACGTTCTAGGATACCACATCAAACAAATTAAATGACTCTTCTTTATATGTATCTATCTTATAGTAAATTTGTAGACAGAAGGGCTATTGAAATACATAAATATTTTTTTTCTATCAAAACACTTCAAGAAGACAAAACAGACAGTCTTGTAACATTGACGCTGCACTGTAAACCCTAACAAGTAAAGTTTACTTGAAAAAACCTTGGAAATAAATTCCATATTAACTTACATTAAGTAAGTATTAACATACTTTACTTGATATTACCAAGTAACTCAAGCGATTGCAATAAAATTTAAATTTTGCTCCGACCAGGAGTCAAACTCACAATCTTGAAGTTGAGAGGTGAAGGTGCTACCCACTCAGCCACCGTGCTACCTTATCCCAAGTCACACATGTCTCATTTAAGATTCTACACGTCAAAATGTCAAAAGTGAGGCTCACTTGAACAGAGAGAGTTCAATTCAAAGAAAACCCTGAGTGATATAGCCAAGCTTTAAATAAACTAACAATAAATGAGTAATATTCACTTACTGGGAAAAATCTATTTAAAATAACTTTGATATCTGAAGTACGATTGAAGTTAGGGTTTGGAGTGTGGAGTGCCTAATTTTCAAACTACAAAAGAATTAGCTCTAAAATCTGTCTGACTATAGTTCCTCACTCTCAAAACAATCACTGGTTTTCACCTGCATGTATATCTAGATCAGCTTTTTCAGACAGAACAGTGAAAAAGAGAGGAAAACCCTAACACACAGTCAATCAGCTCTCAGCCCAAAGCGTCAAATAGTAACTCCCAAGGCTCAGTATGTAAGTATGCAAATGTTTTATAATGAGATGTTTGGATTTGTTCAAAAGATTTCACCTTAAGTCTCCATCTAATAGAATAAATGCATTATTTATTAAGCAAAAAAGTGGGAATCCCCTGCTTTAGGATTAAGATAAAGATATTGTTTATATGTGCCACAGTGGGGAAAATTCACTGTTGCATCACAAGTTACAGAAGACTAACTTGGCTAACTTATACAGGGAAGCTGTAGGTGAGATTTCCCTAAATGTACAAACTTGACACCAATTTCTTACTCAAGTTAATCTCCAAAGCTGCCTCTGCCAACAGGTCAAGCTCTCACCTTTCTTCCTGTGCACTTTGCTCCTGTAGGCCGCCTGCTTCTCTCCATGGTGTGCGGCATGCTCCTTCACCCTGTCCTTCACCACATGCTGGTTCTTGGAGCTCCAATCCAGCGCAGACTCCCCCATCCCTCTGCTGCGGACCTCCGAGACCTCCACCATCCATACGCAGGTCCAGGACACCCACACCAACCATTCTCCAGTCCGCATCTTCACTTGCTCTCCATGCAGCAAAAATGCCTAAAAACCTGTGGAACGATTGCGTTTCATGGTTTTCCTACAGGACGATTTGAAGGCTATGGGCTCTCTGCGTTTCTCTTGGGGTCCCTTTGGTGCAGACAAAGATCCCACAAACAAGTTGGGGACCACATGCTGTGCGCCCAGTGTGGGAGAGGGGTGCGAGGGGTGCCGTCGTGTCCAACAACATCTGTGCCATTCATGGAGAGCGGCTCCACGGGGCGGTGAAAACAGGGAGGAGAGGGGAGCTACGGGGGACAAAGGGGGAGGTTACCGTGGAGGCCTGCTTTCTCCTGCCTAGTCGGCTTCATTAATCAGACGTGGGCGAGAGAGTGATGGAATTCGGTTTGTTTTTGAGCGGTTGGGTAGTGTGTAAGTGAGGCGAGTTTTAGATGAGGATTTGGATGTTGATTGGAGGGATTTAACTGTTGTCTGTATGATCATGTGTCCTCTGGACCAAAGGTTGCTGGTTCCATTCCTGTTTTTGACATAACTACAGGTGACATTATTGTTCAAAAACTCATTTATTCCAGTAATTCAACCTAAAATGTGAAACCAATATGGGCTTTTTCCCTTTCCCTTTGAGTTTGGATAGGTTCATCTTGTCTTCTTGGTAGAATAAGTCAATTGGACATATGTGAGATGCTAAAATAACTCTTGTTCTAATTTTCGGAGTTTCACCTGCACATTATTGTTTGAGCCGTGAGATACGCTGAGCCTCATGTCAGCAGTGCAGTATTTAAAACTCCAAGAACTTGTTTGGTAAACAGTGGCACCTCTATTTTTTCTCCGAGTTAACACAGTCTAAGTGGTTTGGGCAGATTACCTGGTAACCCGTTCTGCTTATGACTCAATACATTGTTCTATCAAAGAGACCAACTGGAATTCCCACAGGGCCTCAATCTAAACACAAAATCTTACATAATCCAAGTATCTGAGTGACTTGAAAGCTAGAGCTAGCACTATCTAAAAGCAAAATATGAAAAGCCCTGATGAAAACAAGTCCTGGTCTTGATTGACCATGGTGTTTAGTGCTTGATTGATCTGCAAACTCTCCAGAGGTGAACCCCGTAGAGCAATGTGGTGGCACAATATGTGTACCTTGAGATGTTGTTTGGTGTGCCTTTGTAAATGATTCAATATCACCTCATTGATTAAAATTAGAAACATTTGTTATTGCAACCTGATTGATTTTCTATTGAATACACTTGGATTAGAATCACTTCATTGTTAAATATCAAATCCAATCAAATCAATTTTATTTGTATCGCCCGAAATCACAACAACAGTCGTCTCAAGGGGTGTCACAGAACCGCCAACTCCCAACGGCTGTGGACCAGTCCTCAGGTCCAGGGAGTCAGGGTTTCGAGTCCCACCAGCGCGTCCATGAAAAAGACAGAGGGACAACCGGTGAACAGCAATGCACAAACAAAATTTGAGAAATTACGACAAATTAACTGTGAAAAAAGAGGACTATTTATCCTGCAGTCCGTGGATGAGGCGGTTTAAAAACAGGTTAAAGTTTTGGTGCATCATTAAAAGTGAAACTAAAAACAATTGCTTATCTACGGTGTATTAAAGGCAGTTGTGAATGTACGACTGTTAAAAATAGTCCACACAAAACAGTGCATTAAAACAGTTGTGTATATACGGCTAAATACAGCTGTAGAGATTCATTTTTGTTTCAGTTTCAGCTAGTGGTGTGATTGTTTTAATGACAAAGCTGTGCCACTGTTCAATAATGTTGGGGAACACTGCCATTGAGCATGTATAGCTGTTATGATGAAGATGAAAGGGATCATAACCAAATGAGCTGAAGGCGGTTATTAAGACAATCATAGCCTTCATAACACCTGAGCAGTGCCACAGGTTGGTCAAAATATTTACTGCATTTGTTTTCCTTTTATTTATTAAGCTGGAATGCTTTATATTCATTTTGTCTAAATTCAAATCAGCATTCAGCATCCGTTTCAAACAACAGACTGGATGAGTTCCCATACACAGGCAGTTTCATTAACAAAATTAGAAAAGCCAAACAAAGACCTCTTTCTCCCTCACGTTCTCTCTTTAAAGTGACACTCCTCTTCTCCTGGCCTCCTGCTTCCTCCACCCCCACCAGTCAACATTCGCCGGGCAAATTAGTCGCTGCTTGTCGGCACAGTATGGAGCTTATCCTTGTCATCTGGGAGAAAGTGGTAAAGACCAGACTGGACGTCCTGTTTGAACAGCAGTGAGCTGAGGCTATATTTACTTATTATCAGATTTAAGAAGGGAAATATTGGAGGTTTTTTTCATCCATCCATCCATCCTCTACCCTTTAATCCATTTCTGGGTCAGGGGGGTGGCAGTCAGAGATGCCACCCAAGTCTCATAGCACCAGCCCCTCACTGCCCCTCTGCAGGTGGTGAGTCCACAGGAGGACGGCTGCTCTCTCAGTGTGAGCATAGCCTTGATCTTTCAGTGGGGGCTTTGGGCAAAGTGGGGTTAAGTGTCTTGCCCAAGGACACAACGACAGCAGTCATCAGTGGGAATCGGTGGAGAAGGTGCAGAGGTGGGAATTGAACCCACAACCTTCTGGCCTTAAGGCCAATGCTCTACCAACTGAGCTACTGTCGCTCCCTGGAAATATTGGAGGTTTTTTTCATTATCATTTAATTATTTCTTCCTTTATTTGTTACCAGAACATGTGGGCAGCAGTCAAAGGCTAGACTTCCCTCTTCCCTAACAACAGTAGTCATCTCAGAGGACTTAACAAAACCATTGAAATCACCAACACAGATCAGAGAATCAACAGTTAAGACACACAATCCTAACTCCAACTCTAACCCCCTAACCCTAATCCTAACTCTAACTCTAACTCTAACCCTAACTCTAACTCTAACTCTAACTCTAACTCTAACTCTAACCCCTTAACCCTAACTCTAACTCCTAATCCTAACCCTAACACACACTTCTACTTGCCCGTTTGGGAATCCCGAAGCGTTCATTGAGACCCAACAAGGACGACCCAGGATCCTCCAACATGTCCTGGGACTTCCATGAGGGTCTACATGTCCTGACCCACTACACTCACCCCCTATCTGGGGCCAGGATTCCCCTGAAAAGGAAATCATGAAATCCCAGTGGACATTCCTGGTTAAATAAAGGTAAATAATAATGATAATAATAACAGCTCCACTGAGAGATGGAGGAACTGTGGCTCTACTATGAGCCAAGAAAACCTTGTTGCATTGAATAAAAAGAAACATACCTTGCACTATACAGACGATTACTATCTGGACTATTTCCCAATTTGAACATATCTATTCTATTCTAGGTCATGATGATAAATGTGATCAACTCTATACAATAATACTTTGCAGGTGCCATAGATAGTAAACACTATGGTGTGATCAGCAGAACAGAATGGCTTCAATAGTAGCAGCAGCAGGTGCACCTCGTCACACTAACATGGTGTCAATGTGCAGGGTCACAGTCACAGCACGTTAGCCCCACACAAAACCACAGCGATCAATAGCCAAACTCAAGCCTATTTCACACCATGTTACGACTGACAGGAAACGGATGATCGAACTCAAGTCTTGATTTAGAGGAGTCATGATTGAGGAAAGCTGGATAATGAGTGGCTTCATCGAGAAGGAAAACAAGTGCATTAATTCCTTGGAGATTATATATTTGTTTTCAATTCATTGTACATTTTCGGTGTATCTACTGTACCTTTGAATAAAGTCTTTTTATTCTAACTAAGAAAGTCTCACAGAGTAAGGGTCGTCCTGGTTTATACATTATCAAATAGGTAGCATATTTGTTGATGGTCCTCCTCACTTGTATTTAATGCTGTCTCTCAGAACAGCAGAATGCAACATGGGTCATTTGTTTTGAACCACAGGTTTGATGAACAGTGGTGGACTTAGGCCTTTCGGGGCCCAAGATAAACTTTTGTTGAGGGGCCCTCCTTCATGGATTCTTCAGGGAGTTCTTACCAGTCTTCTGTCATCTATAGTTGGAGTCCTGGTGGAGCCAAAATTGATTATTGGATCATTATCTGTGGTTAACGCTAAGAAGGTTTTGAAAGTGAAGTTAAATTTTTACTACATACTTCCAATGTTTTGTGTTACTCTGCTTCAGTCGGATAAGAACAACTCATTTATTTGTCCATATTCCAGATCCTGCCTCAACATGGCTGCTCATCCTGGTTGACACAGGTGACATCAGAGGAATAGTTTTAGATAATAATATTATAGTAGTAACTAAGTACGTAATGTTTATTAAAAAGTGCCTTTCACGGAGTGCCTTTCACGGAGTGCCTTTCACAGAGTCACAAAGCACTTTATAATTGTTGTGGACCTTTGTCTCTGGCTCCTTACAGAGATGGGAGGGAGGTGCACTCCAGACCTATTGTACATGTTGTTAGTGGTAGAGGAAACCGGAGCACCCAGAGAAAACCTACGCAGACTTGGGGAGAACATGCAAACTCTGCACAGAAAGGCCTGGAGGTGGAATCGAACCTAGGACCTTCTTGCAGTGACCACTGCACCGTCACACACCGATTTTTGATCCGAGGGAAGGGGAGTGCGGTGATGCCTGTGATTTTCTTTTACAACATAGAATACTTTTGTGATTGGTGTAATGTCGGTGGCACTGACAGGTTCCTCCCCTTGCCTAATGATAATGCTGCCCCTGTTGGTCAAATACAGTGCCTCTCAAAACTTTTGTCTATTTTACAACCATACGTTTCTACTGAGAGTTCACACACAAGTAACAAACAACTGTGAGATTAAAGCAAAATGATTCATGATGTTGTTATTATTTCAAAAATAAAAGTGAGAATTACCAACAATCCTGATGACTTCACCTCGCTCTAATGATTATTAAACACCTACATGTAATCCACTCTCGGTATAATTAGAGTGGTTCTGTGAGGGCCTCGGAATGTAATGCTCACTAAACAGCATCATGAATGGAAAGAGTGTGGCACCACTGCAAATCTACCAATACTGCAAATCTACCAATACTGCAAATCTACCAATACTGCCCAAAGTCACAGCTCGAACAGGTCAACACTCATCACAGATGCAGACATGAGGCCAATGGAGGACAACTGGAGGAGCTGCAGACATTCGTAGCTCACCTGGGGGAATCTGTACATGAGGAAAATATTTGTCACACACTACACAAATCTGGACTTGAAATTGTCGCTGGTCGCTGTGCTATAGAATTTTCCTTCCTATGATTTCTTACAGGGTGACAGTGGCTCAGTTGGTAGAGCATTGGCCTTTGAGCCTAAAGTTCATGGGTTTGAGCCCACCATGAGGCCTTCTCCACCAACTCCAACTGATGTCTGCTGTTGTTGTGACCTTGGGCAAGACACTTAACCCACTTTGCCTATAAGGAGCGAAGAAGTAATGTTCGCTGCATTCCTTGATGTTTATCTGTGTATGTGTATTCATCAAGCTGAAATTTCCCCACTGTGGGACAAATAAAGGACCTTCTTCTTCTACTTCTTCTTAATGTTCTTCTTAGGACAGAGCCTTTGCCATTGCTGCCCCAACCCTCTGGAACTCACTCCCACTGCCCATTAGAGACTCTGACTCACTACCAAACTTTAAATCAGTACTCAAAACCCATCTTTTCAAACAAGCTTTTCCGTAAACCCTTTTTTTATTATTGTATTTTATTCCCCATGTGAAGCGTCTTTGAGTGTCCAAAAAAGCGCTATACAAGTTTGATGTATTAATATTATTATTATTATTACCTTCACCACCAGTTTTAACTTGAAATAAGACATCCAGTGCTTTTGTCCACTTTACACTACCTGTAATGTATACTTAATCACCATTATGGTTTTAGATAATAATGATGAAAATAAATGTTACAACTTAACACAATAAGTCCACTGAAATAGCAATATAGCAACCAGAATTATTAATGTGTCAAAAATGGCCAGAAACTTTCAGAATTGCAGATTAAGTCAACAAACAAAGTCAAGAAAAGCAGGCATGTGCTGGTGGAGATGAGGATCATCAGAGAAATGTTGAAGAAGTAAAGCTTTCTTTAAAATTCAAGAATGAGAATGCCATGGAAAAAAGTTATTAGCTTCTTTTACGTTTCCGTAAAGCATGACCAACAATATTATCAACATTCTAGAACATAAAAACATGTTCTAGTCCCTCTCACAAAGACAAGACACCTCATAAACCAAGTCTTATTATGCAAATCATCACACAATCCTATAGAAACCGTATCTCCTCTGACCACCCATGTTCCAACTGATGTGAACCTCAAATGATCTCTGCAGCACCGTCGGCCCTGGACCCCCGCTGGGGCAGATCTGCAGCCCACAATGAGGCGTCGTGTCTGGGCAGCAAAAGGCCTGTGCGCTGGCTGACCTCTGATCTGCTCTTTCACCCACAGAACTGCTCCGGCTTCAGTCCGCCCAAAATAAAGTAGGTTAATAATGCCCAAACCATGCTCTGATTGCTGGGATGAAGATTTGGCCCTGTCCCTGTGATGGCACCCCCAGATCCGGAGACAAAGGGCCTTAATGAAGCACGACCGGGAAGCCCGTAGTGAGAAAGAGGACTTGGCTGTGAGGGAGGTATGCATGGTAACTACGGAAATGGCATGGTTTATTATATGGACGGTCTCTAGGAGGAAAACATCTTGTTGTTTGGAGAGTGATGGACAATTTGGCATCAATATACAGGCAACAAAAACATTTTACTGCTTTGGTAATTGAAATTGCTTGTTTTAGATAGTTGCTAATGTTAAATCTACAAACCTAATTTGTTAGTGTTCAAGGCCATTTGTTTTTGGACGAGTCTGTGTTGATTCGCTTTATGGAGGAATTGTCAGGTCATGTCATGACATGACATAATGGTGATGATTATGACTTACAGTCCAAAGGCGCTCTACAAATAAAGATTGATTGATTCAATGATTTTCAAAATATTCAAATGTTTTAGCTTTGAGCCAATTATACTGCATCACGTAGCCTCAGTCCTCATTCTACAGCCTGAGTCCTGGATCTATAGCCCGTCCATCCGTGGGAGCGGATCCCTCTCTCAATGAGGGCCTCCCTGTGGTCTTTCATTTTCCTTGCCGATGCAGGAGGGTCTAAGGACAGTGATGATCCAGGACACCCGACACTCAACCAGTTTAATGGATCATCATTGATTATCTACTTATGGACCAAGGTGTTTTTTATCATCACATTTCCAGTTTGATTCTCTGATCTGTGTTGGCGAATTGAGGGCTTGAAAAATCCTCCAAGATAAGTCTGGTTGTGATTTAGGGCTATAAAAAATAAATTGAATTGAATTTTAAACATGATAACATACAAAGGCTTTCTCTAGCTCACTTTGTGTATTCTGAGTCATATATTAGTTTCACTCATTGTTCGTTGAATTACAGAACAATAGGCCGAGGCAATACAGTAAATATGAAGGATTGAGGCAGTTTAAAAATATATTTTTCTAGTTTTTACAGTCACTACATTAGATTTGATACAATATATCCAATGCTTGTGTGGACATCCTTTGGGAGGCCCCGAAGGTTTGTGTGTCCCCAAAGCATCCCCGGACCCCACTTTGGGAAGCACTATGACAGATCTTTAGCAACTTAAAAGTCTATGAAATAAATCCATCTCAGTGGCTTGGAGGGTATACACTCATGCCTCACAGCAAGAAGGCCTTGCCGTGTTTTATCTTGTGTCTACCTGGGGCTTGCTGTGTGGAGTTCGTCTGTTTCTCCAGGTGTGAGGGTGGGTTTCTTCCAGACGCTCCGGTTTTCCCCCACCACTCAAAACATGCACTGTTGATAAAACTCTCCAGTGAAGGTCCTGACCAAGCAGAGCATCATGGATCCCCTGGTGCTGCACTGTGGCGACCACTGCCCTGTCAGCCTTAGTGTCATTGCAGGATGGGTCAAATGCAGAGGACACATTTCCCTACAGCGAAAATAAAGTATACCCTAACTTTTCTAATGTTAAAGTAGGCTTTATTCTCTATACTATTGCCCAAGCCCTTCTCCAAATTAAGTGTAGTGTAACTAACTATACAGTAGTTGTAGTTAATGGTCAATGATAGTTGAGTTTTCGGTTCAACTTCAATTTTTCCATTGTTTTTTATAAAAAGTTGAATTACATCGGGAAACATACCATAACAATTTGTGGAATCAATTGCATAAGTCTCAAAATGGCATCATTTACATTTCATCTTAATAAAAACATAGAACTGTATCCAAAAAGTTGCCTTTTGTCTGAATTTACTGGAAGTCTACTTGAAAAGCAAACCATTTTCAACTGATTGATACAAAAATTTGATACTATAATGAGCACTCTTCAAATTTGTATTTACCCGACTTTGTGAAAGGACTGCAAACATTGGTCGTGGTTGATTTAACCCGAACTGAATGGCATTCTTTTGGGATAAGTGCAGCAACTTTGGCCTGAGATCTGCTGAAAGCTCGTCTTAGGGGCCTTGTAAGAGCCATGGGTGGGTCCGCTATCCATATCACAAACAGGAGCCGGAGGATGTGAACGCCAGGCCACCAGTTCTGCTCCACTGCCTCTCAATGCTCCGTCTACCAGCCACAAGCACTCCCCATCCCCAGTGTTCTAAGGAAGGAGAGGGGTGGTGGGGGGGGGACGATTTGGAAAACTGGGCAACCTAAAAGTTTGGAAATCGCACCTCTTTCGCCTTGTCTTTCCAGAGCACAGCCCGCCCCCCTGAGTTCTTTATATGTCCAGCTGGCTTCCACACAAAGAACCGACTCTCCAGGCTCCCAATGATCTGCAGGACCCCCGAAGGCTTTGTTCTGCTCATTTTCCCACTCCCCAGAGGCCGGGTTCAGACGCAGAAATGAAAATGAGGATGGAAAATAGCGATGGACTTAAAAAAAAGGTTAAAAAAGATGTGGTGATTGTTAGAACTGGCAGACATGAAGGGAGACGGCGATCGGTGCTGCAGAAGATCCGTGGTGCTCTGACCTTGAAATGTGCAGTTAGAGGGAAGATATTTGGTTTTTGGAAAAGGGAAATTCTCTGGGTGGAGGTTGGAGCAAGTACAGAGGAATAAAGTATTAGTTTTTCTTTCCTACTCAACTTGAATATTTGAATTGGACTTCATAAAACATCTCATCTCATGAAAAAAAGGTAAATTACATGGGGAAACATGTATCAAAAAACTTGAGCGGTTAAACAAACTTATAAAGTGTGTATTAAGAAAATAAACGTGCTGGTCAAAAAGTTGGACAAGCGTTAAGTAATTTGCCATTCCGGGTTTACGTTTTGGAACTCTATGGACTATCACCACCCTCACAGAAAAAAGAATTAAGTCCCATCTCATTTACTAATAAGTTATTAGGTATCTAAGGAAAAGTTTTATGATTTGCCCTTTCCTCAGAGACTTTTGGCCAGGATTTTACATTTGCGAAAAAACTTTGAATCAGATTGAAACAGCAATCCCATTACACATTTTACAATCATTATTTTCCAATCTGTATTTTCTGGTCCAGGCTGGTCAGCAAAGGCAACAATGGGGCGGCTGTGGCTTCAGTGGCACTTGACCACCATTGTGCTTGGAGTGACTCAGTGATGCCATGTGAAGCATTTCTGAGAATGATGTTGATGTATGGTTATTTTTGGTAAATTTGAACTAATAACACAAATTTGACCAAACAAGACAAGATAAGATGCACTTTATTGATCTCACAATGGAGAAATTTACAATAATACTTTGAGCAATAGCCATCACCAACATGCTATTGTGTTTACTGCAGACAATTATCCTTATTAAAACCCATATGACAAGTTACTCAAAGAAAGTTAAATGTATAGGAGGATTTTCTACTTCCGGGTGGATCATGAAGACCATTGGTCCTCCCAATTGTGAATCATTCTGGTGATACGTGCTCGTCAAATAAAACCAGAGAGTTCTGTTCAAAAAGTAGAGAGGGTGCGGTTCTTTCCTAAAATTTGGGAAAATCTTTTATATCTTTAAGTTACATTGTATTTAAGATGAATCCTTTTTAATGGTTGCCACAGGGTCAGCAGTCTGAGAAGACAAGTTTAGACATCCAAATCCACGCACGCTTCCTCCAGGCCAGCTGAGAGACACAGTCCCTACAACGTGTCCTTCCTCGGGGGCTCCTGCTTGTGGGACTGGCAGATGCCCTGGCCACCTCAGCTTGCTACTCTCAACGTGAAGAGCTCCTCGACCAGATGGAGTAAACTCATTTCGACCGCTTGTCCTTGCTAAATTTATGAGATAACTCAAAATCTTGGCTGTAGTTTTTACAAGTTACTTCCTGGCTGGACATGAGCTGCGGATGTGACATACAGTAGGTCAAGATAGTTACCATAGCAACTCCAAAGTAACCAAGGTCCATAGCTCGTTTCAATTAAACTATAGTTGGATTCAACACTTTTATCTATTACTTTTAGCTCCATCTAGAACCCAGCCACTTCCAGTATGTTTCCTTCACTGTTTTGCCACAAACTGAGACTTGCTAGATAAAAAAAAACTACAATAACTATTTCCTTCTGTCCAAATAAGAAGAGGTAAGCCCCACTTTAAGTACATATTCCAAATCCCCCCATTCCCTGTGATGCTTCCAAGCTGATCCTTTTTTTGGGGCAATCACGCGGTCAATTACAGTCAACAAGTCAACGCAGGTTTTCCAGACCCCCCGGACACGCCCCCCCTTATGGGACCCCTGCCCCTCTGCCCAGTGTTGTCCCCAGTTTGAGTGAAATCAGTATGGAGATGTGGGCCGGAACTAATAGGATTGGTTTTGATTCATTAGATAGTCTTTCATCGTCCTGGTTGGAATGCCACTCCACATCTCCTCGGGCTTCACACCGACCAAAACAGAGGTGGGACGCAGAGTGGGGGACGGGGCCGGAGATTATGACTTCATACGGAGCCGTCAGAGCTGCTGGAATATGGAAATATGATTGAGCGAGGGAGAATTGAGACTTTATTTGCATGTGGACTGCATATGTGATGAAAAGTTACATGCTAAACCCTCTGCTAGAGCTTCCATTGCACTTAACTACTAACTACTATTTGAAAACATTATAGGTTTACTCCTGTTAGAACAGTTGCGTAAAATGTTTGATTTAATTTCCTAATTCTAATGTGACCTTCATGTTTTCCACTATTTCTCAACTTTTCCATTTTGAATTTGGATAAATATTATGACATAGAAAGTTTGATTGACTCATTTTATTATAAAACTAAACCACAGTTTGTACAAAACATGACATCTTTAACTAGAAAAACAGAGCACATTTCTCTATATACAAACAGACTCTTCCCTGGCATTACTTGGCTGGCCTTGGCATGTCCCAGTCCATTTGGTCTGTATGTTTCCTGTCCCGTAGAGGCTCCAGGCCTTGGATCCTCTAGTGTGTGCGGAGCTCTTTGGCGTAGACGGGCTCCAGGAGGTGCAGGGGGACGAGTGCGAACAGCCCACACAGAAAGACGGCAGCAGCCACAGCCAGCAGCACCAGGCGCCCGATCAACAGACCGTCCACTATCTGCACACAGGGGGAGCACACAGCACAGCCAAGTCATGTACTGCTCCACCACACATAACACACACATTCTCCTGGTGCATGGGAAAAGCAGCTGTCCCACCCATTTGTCTCACTCTTATCGTTTAGCTTCTTTCAAACACTCTTCTGACTGACATTTGGTCTCAAAGAAGCTACACAAATATTCATGATATGGATAAAGAGACAGTAGACATCTCTAAACAAGAGGTTCTTGACCACTCAATTGTGCCCGAGTTGGGGAAGTTATTCAAGTAATTGGATACATTTTAACAGTCGTTATACTACTTGGCTATATTTTGATTGGGGAAACTCTCAACCTGTATACAACATACAATATATACAACGTATACGTTTTTCACTACTATTAAAAAGGCAAGCCTGGTTTTAGTTTTTATTTTATATATATAGAAATGATGACTCAACAACTACTTTAAATTTGTGGCAAAAACTAGTTATCAAGTGAAGAGTTGGTAAATGTTGCTTCTGCAGTTGCCACTTTCCTGCATTAGTCAAGGCTGACTCTGCATTCTCACAACAAGCCACAAGATGGCAATAGAGTGCTTTCTCTAATGTTTAGTGGCAGCAATAATTCAGTCATATCTGTTGCTGATCAAAGATTGACCTTACAACTTAATGACTATATGATGTCACAGCAACACATCATTGCAATAGACATGTGGACTGTTGCATTTACTACATGATACATGTAGTAAATGCAACCCTAACCCTGTTCACAGTAAAGTGTTAATTAAAGTATCTTTAAAAAGGTTGTAACTTAAAAACTAAAATTACTTTCATAGATTGGAAAAAAGGATTTCAAACACAGACACATCGAAAAGGTAGTGTGGATTAAATCAAAAGGAACGATTGACAAATTTGTTTTTGGCAACATTTTAAACAACCAAATGAGCCTCTGATTTGACCATTCTAATGTGACACCGTTACATAGAAAATAAAATGTCCTCAGTCTGAAAAAGCGTCAGATGAAATCGCACAAGATTTACATGGTTAACACAACATCAGTAAATCACTTGATTTAAAAAGTAATTGTAAAAAAATAAAAAAGTATCACTTTGTTTCTACTTTGTGTAAAAAATATAATCTCTTAATCAAATGCGGAAATCTGACAATACGTAACAAACTTACGCAGCTCATTCTGTCAAATCATCGTCCGTTACATAAAATAAACAAGGCCACTATAGGAAACTTATCTAATGTATAAAACAGTTATGTTCTAGCAACTTCTAATGGACAACTGAGGTATTTGGATACATGAAAAACATAAAAGATGTTCTGATTATTAAAATCTTATCTTTGGCCTTTTGTCACACTTTTGTGCACTTTAGTGTGAACAAGCCCAGACAAAGATGTCTTTGATAAACCGACAATAAGTCACCTTTCCAGAGAAAAGTTACAATATAAATTGGCTAGTTTAATCCAACTCTACTTTCTCACTGTAATGATGATGACTTGTCAATGAGTTTAAGTACAGTTCTAATAGTGGCATTCTGCTTTTGCACAATGAAATAATGAAGACATTCATTATTGACATGTTTTGTATAATAGCCACACAATCAATAGTCCCAAAAATGATACAAGATTGTAAAAAAAGCTTGGAAGGACAGTTTTTGGCCGGTCGTATTAGGATAAACTGCAAACAAACAATTCAAAAATGACGCTTGTTTTCCAATGTTGTGAGTGCAACATTGCCTTTGCTCTGTATCCCCTGTGCCCAAACAGAGATCAACACATCTAACCATGTCTGCCCAACCAGTCGTTATTGATTTATGGGGGACAGGCACCTCATGTTGTGGGAATAATAAATATAGTGTAACTTTGCACCAGCGTTGCTCTAGATGTTTGTTTTTCTCAGACGTTCTGCTGAGAAGAAAGGCTGGATTCTGTGGAGCTAGTTATTTTCAGAGCCTGCTGTTCTTCTCCCAGTAAGTCTGGACACCAGCCGCCCAGTGTAAGCAGTCCATTTGCAGAACTACTGCAGTCACATGCCACAAGGATGTCGCTATAAATGTAGGAATAACTTCATTTGTGGTCTCTCAGTATAGAAATGTAGGATGAGTGACTGATGGGACATGTATTGAGAGATAAAATTGGCCTCATGAACAAGCCCCAGTGAAATCCATACGTTTGTGACCAACTTAAAGCATGTTTTTCCCAACAGAAAGAGTCTTGTTGTAACATGTGAGCAAATCAGACGACAACATGCCGTCTTCATCTTATTAGAGAACATCTTATGCATACTTGTAAGAAAAAGTCCTGTGAGTCACTATTTGATGCTCTGAGCCGAGAGAGTTGATTGGCCGAGCGAGGGTTCCTCTCTTTCTTACTCTTCTGTCTGAAAATGTTGATCCAAAGATGTGACAGAAGCCAAAACATGTTTGTGAAAGATGTTTTGAGAGTTTGGAACTAGTTAGATAGATCTTAGTTCCACTTTTGTGGTTTGTATTAGGTTTGTATTAGGTACCTCGGCTTTAATGAAATGTTCTACATTGAGGACTGTTTCTCATTCGATACGATGTACAATATATGGCTCACAATTTCACAGATTGACTGCATTTTATAACCATCTTTTTACATTTTAAAAAGTATTTCTTTGTAAAACTAACAAACTACACAAACTATAAGATACACACACACATTGGACAATAATAACAGTGAACATTCTAATTACACATTTCATAATAATGTTTTCATTTTCTGAGCATGCAGCAAAACAGTATCAGAGTTATATTCATCCTTGCTGTGTGAAGGACAAGTTCCGAAGATCTTTCTGTACAATAAGAACTGCTGAGCCTGAACATGTCATTCATGCTGCAACTTCAGAATGACCACTGAATGTCACTTTATCTACTTATCCTGCCCAATAGATGGATAGATGGGTATTTTTTTTATCATTATTGTGTCTTGCATACAAGGATGCCCAGCCCACATGGGCTTATAAGACATAGCAGCTACTTTTATTGTATGCTCCATGTGTGCTCTTACTACTGTCATATGCGCCGCAACATTTAAATTTCCCCACCGAGGTATGATTAAAGGTTCTCTTATCTTATATTTTTGAGCATCACAAAATAACAGTGAGCAGTGATATCTTCAACTATTGGTCAACTAATAAAATAAAGACTGCAGCATAATGAATATCTCCATCAGGGAGCCTTTGGTCACCATTACTACACCTATCTATACAACTACAGGACAGACCTGCATTATTAAAACTCCTTGCAAGACATTGATGCAGTAATATATTGTATTGCAAAATGTTGCTGAGGGTGCGCAGCATTTAGGTAAAAAAAAAAATGTGCCTTGAGCGATAAACCAGCAGATAGACCACCTCTGGAATGGCCTGTAGTGGAATGTGAACGCGTCCGAGCGGAGGCGAGTGGATAGAGGTGAGGCTTCCGTACGCGACGTCTCTCACCCCAGAATTTAACACATTTCACTTTTTAATTTGCCAATTACGCAGCGAGCAGGAAACCAAAGTGGGCGTCATGTTTTATTAATGTGCTGTGGGTGGTTGTTGAAATCAGGAGAGGTGGGGAGGGGGGTGGGTGAGGATTATGGAGGGGGGGTGGAAGGTTTGAACCTTCCACCTTCATAATTCCCGTCCTTTCTCCAGCTTGGGATGTTCCTCATTAATAGCGTGATCATATTTGGTGTAAGAGCAAGTGGTTGGATACCTGCGAGTCCACACAACCCCAGGCAAAGGTACGAGGATCTCAAAAGTGTATTATTGGGATTATACAGAGCAATAGTAACAACAGTTTTGACAACATCAAAAAGTGAGGCTTTAAAATAAAAGTATGAATTGATGAGAAAAATGTAAAAATACTCCTTTGATCAATAATGATACTGACAGGTCTTAATGTTATAAAAACAAGCCAGAATGTAGCAAATACAGACTGAAAAAGGCATGTTAAAACAGCTTTTATAGCAAAGTAACATAAGACTGTAACATGAATAAATCAAAATATCAAAAAAGAATGTTGGGATTATATCAGTAATACCTTCCAGATTCCCTCAGCCAGAATAGCAAAGAATTAATCGAAATATTCGTTTTTGCATAGTCTAGTCCAATATTAATAAAAAATGTTGAATTACTTCTTTTGAGCGATTGAAGACCAAGCAATTCACCATTTTTGTCTTGAAAAAAAAAAGAAAAAGGTTGGGACCATAGACTGTAGCAGTGGACTAACCAAATGCTGACCCTGTTCCCGGAAGAAGACCCTATTCCCTATTCTCTATTCCCGGAAGACGAACTCAAACAGGCTTCATGGGCGGGAATCTGGAGCCAAATTCTGCGATAGCAACAACAAGGCAACCGCTGAGCCAATCAGGAGCGAGACTGCTCTGTTCCAGCTTGCACTACTCTCCAGGCGATGCTGAATTCTGGGATTAAAGGCACCCAGCACCTGAGTGGACAGCTGTTAGGGCTCATATCTGGATTTACACAGATATGATCAAAATAATAACACCAGGATCATATAGACCGTTAGATAACAAATGTTTACATAGAAAGAGGACTTTGCTTTTTATTGTAAGTGAATGGAGCGAAAGTGAGTAAGAGCCAAACTTTGCCTATGAGCACTATATCTAAAAGGCTGCAGAGAGCTAGCATTTTAGCATTGTCCATCCCTATAATACTGTCTATGGCTGAGACCCTTGTAAACAATTTTCTTGTCTCAAAAATGGAAATTAAAAAGTGTTGCACCTTAATGTTTTTTGTGTGTAAAACTACAATTATTTTGTTTTTGTTAAATTTTGTGGCAGAATCTATCTTAAAATCGATCACACCACTATCTTTTACATAACATTTAGGCAAGGAAAGGCAAGTCATTCGTTATAATCTTAATTTCAGACTCAAATGAAATTGGTCTATTAAAAAGAAATATGTTTTGTAATAACATGTCTGCAAAATTGTGTTATGCAGTTAATCATTCAGTAATTAGAGATCTTTGATAATACACTTAATGAAAAATTGCGTATTCACTGTGCCAGTATCTGAGGTCATTTTATAATATGAAACAATAAATCATGAAGCGTCGGGAGGTATAAACATCTGATATGCAGCATCACTAATAATAACTCAAACTTTTGCAGCTCTAAGAAACATAAAACAGCGACTATACATTTGGAAACCCCTGAAGCATAATCTTCTTAACCGCCGGAATCCTTCTCTGAGGCAAGCCTTGCTATATTTTATCTCAAGGATGAATCTGGGAAGTCAGATTGTGCTTGTCTGGTACGGATCATTGCACAAAGGCTTTCAAATGCATGCGGGCCAGGACGGGGCTGTGTGCTCTGCTATTTCTATGGTGTGGCAGCTTGCTTGGCAGATCTGGCTGGCTTTCTGGCACGACCCGGAGGCAACATGGGGGAGTGTTTGTTCTGTGTTGCTGTTGGACTCAGATAAAGACGAACACAAACCCACGGCACCACACTGCTGCACGCGCAAATGCTGTTTACAGACGGTGGACAGCGGCCGGTGACTCCGAGGGTTATATTTGGAATAGCATTATTTGTACCAAAATGGCTTTTAATCTGGATTTATGGACAATGTTAAAACGATGTAGATGTTTCAAAATGTATATAACCTTGTGAGAATATTCCATGGTATTACCATTATAATAATATTATTAACTATTGTCCAAGTATGCAATGGTGCAATGAAGCACTTGACCAGGCACATGGTCAAGTGTATACCAAATGGCCATATATTCCTAAAATTGAAACCTATTTGAAAAACAAATACAATAGGTCCCCTCTCTCTGAGTTCAGGAAAAAAAAGATTTGGAAATCCAAGGTGGACTTTACTGGTTAAATAATTAAAGTTATGTACAGTATATGTGAAAGAGAGTCAGTACATTAAATGTTTGCTTTGAAATACAGTAGATTAACTTGAATATTTCGTTACATCATTACATCCATCTATGCATACTAAATATTGTACAATATTAAGACCCGAGGCAAATATTACATCTTACATAAGTGTGACACAGTCAAAGAAAACTTGGCTGTTCTTTTAAGATGTGAAACGTTATCCTCTCTCAGTAGGATTGAACCATAAACATTTAGTGGTAATCAAAGCCAAATGGCTTAGATTCAGACCAGAAAACTTGAATCAAATGCTATACTTTGGGTTAACATATAGACATATAGACTAGTCATGAACACATGCTCACCTCAATCTCTTTGAAAGGGGGAGGGGTCTCCGGGCTGCGGGGGAAGAATATCAGTGCCAGGGTGATGGTGAGAGCCAGCAGAAACAGTGGAATAACTCCCAACCTGGCAATACAAGAAGGCGTTACAGGCATTGAAGCAGTATACCATTGTTGGCCAGAATCACTTTATATATTTATATAATGTCAACAATACTTATAATTCAATAGAAAAAAATAGTCAGTGCATGTCCACCCTTCACCCGCATGCATCTGTGTAAAATGCACGCATTAAAATCTACTATGATATGCATGACACAAGATTGACATATTTAAAATTGCAATTATACAGCTAATCAATTGTCAAAGCGTAGTTTCCACATTACGAGGGGTTGTGGATATGGAGACAGACCTGGCAGCTCCCGAAGCTCTCAGCAGCATTATACCGATCACAAGCGCTGCTATCCACACGACTGAGATGACCACGACCCCTGTCCCCACAGCTAACACGGTGCCTGCCATCCTGATATCAACGCCAATGCTAAAGCTACTACTGAAATGACCAAAACAAAATAATAATATGAACACTGTCTCTAGAAGGCATCTGTCTTCTACTCATTCACACGCCGATGAGGACTGCTGTTACGTCCCGGAGATATGTGCTGAAATCACGGCAAGCAAATGTCTGTTTTAGATCCCAAAAAGACCATTTATGCACCAAAACAGCGCTCATTTCTCGGAAAGATGCTGCTGGGCTGTGAGCGTCTCCTGCTTCCTGGTAACAGCAAGTACGCACCTAATTGGTCGAGGCTAGATTGTACCAACCAATCAGAGCGCGTTTTGTTAATCTAAGTTTTAACTCCCGTTTGACTTGACTTTTCTCCGTCGTGCATGGTTTTTCACGTGGTTTGTAGTATTTGCTCGTTTAAATCTTTTTTCCCCACATAAATCTATACAATATTCGAATAAACTAGAACGTGGCTCGGTAAAAACAAATTAATCGGACTTATGGGCCATTTTCATGTTTTTTAATGGCTAATTGACTATGGCATAGCTATTTTACAAACACGTCAAACTAACGTCTTACTTTGCTCAATATAGTTTTTAACGGTATAAGGTAAACTTGGACGAATTTGTCTGAAGACCTAGTAAGATAAAAGTCGAATGTATAATCTCTGTAACTTTGACAAAACCGAATAACAATTTTGCAGAAGATTTTGAAGAAATGCATATTACTTGAAGTTTCTTAGTAACTGTTGGTACACGTTTAATATTTGCATTATTCTTTCCTAGAAGGAGACATCGTGCATCGTGTCAGCGTAGACTTTTCATGAAATCCATGAAAGAGTCAGAAAAATTAGATAGACTCTATAGGAAATATCCAGTATCTACATTCTGTGGTTCAATTAATCTTTTATCTAGGTGAACAACATACCTCGTGTCGGTCTATGTGGCGAAGTGACTAAAACAATTAAAACCATTGTCAAATTGATTTTGTTCACACTCGAGAGAAGTCAAGGGCTCTTAATATTCTCTCCAACTCGGATCAGCCTTGTCCACATTTACTGTACTTGGACGTGGGAGGCAGTAGAGTAGACTGACTCTTGACTATCACCCGCTCTCCCTTCTAATCCCAGTATTATGTGTGCAGCTCTGTTCGCGTGATTGTCATATTTCCCACGGACACTGGAAGGCATCAGCAGCCCAGCGTTGGGAAGAAAACAGGGAGCAAGCATTGAGCGCACGGAGCCGGGAGAAGATGGAGATGGAGGTGGGAGGTGCCTGTGTCGGCTGACGTCACCGCCTGTGTGGAGGAGTATAGGCTGTGCTGTCAGCCCAGTGTCAGTCTGATGAAGATTGGCATGCAGGTAAGCTGTCATTCATTTTCAGTGTCAGTGTGCATGGGAACAGGGCTTCACCACTTGAGCGTCTTTTTCCCCCCTTTCCCCCCCTTCATTACAAAAGGCAGGACATTATTCATACAGGCAGACAGCCAGCCAGGCCAAGGGGAGAGAGAGGGAGAGAGGGAGGGAAAGGCTGGGAGCGAGTGAAGAGGAGGGAGGTAGAGGGAGGGGGGACGCGAGCGAGGGGGAGAAAAACGAGAGAGGCGCAGCACACGAAATGCATTTTTGTGCAGGACTGACTGAGTAGCGGATTTTCTTTACCCTTTATTTTGCCCGTGCGCCTTTTGGATTTGATATAAAATGTGTTAGTAACGTCTGTTATGGAAGTGTAGTGATTTGCGTAGTTATCAGAGCGTGTTTTTTTTGGCGCAAAACGTGATAATTGACTTTGGGAAGCAGCAGGAGTAGGATATTTTTTAGACTCGAAAGAACAGCGCGCTTCTTTACTCAAATCCTGAACACTTTGCGTCCCGTGTTGAATTCTGCCAAATGTTCAAAAGCGTGGGTGCGTGTTGCGCTGATGTGGATGAAGTGTTTCGGATGTCTGGAACTTGTGTTGTGGTTTGATGCTAAAGTATGAGTGCTTGACTTATTTTTTGTGTGTGGAACGTGTGCGTTGCATTTGCGAACCTGCTCAAAATAGTTGAAAGTTGCCAAAAAACGAAAGTGTTATGTATTTTATAATTGCATCCAGTTCTGTGTTTTCTGTAAATACATCGTGGGGACAATGCAAATACATACGTTTTTTATGCCATTGGACTTGAAATGTTTATTATGTGATGGTAGTATCCTAAAATAAATGTATTTTTCTTGCTTTTCACGATATTCTAATACCACATTGGTTGCTAAGGAGGCATAAAATCAACACCATTGTCACAAGTGTTTTTGTTTAGCGCTGCAGTGTTTTCCCGGTTGGGTTAGGAGAATTGCTCTTGGATTGCACTTTTCCTCTTTCTGTAAAATTTACCTTGACTTTTGCCAGCTGTAATGTTTACCCGGTGCCTCTGCCCCTGCCCAGAAAAACCTCCATGAAGCGTCCTCACACTGCTCCTCTTTGTGCACCACTAACTACTCTGTTTTTCAGATGACCGGTTTATTCCGCTATTGACTCTCTCACACATGGAGCAGCTTGACTGGCACAAAAACATCCATATGATTCTATGACAGCAGTTACTAATTGTGTTTGATTCTGTACAAGCTTAAACATAGACAATCTGCAAAGCAACTTAACAGCTCTAAACGTTTCCAAAACTTAACATTTTTGGTGCTCACTAATATATTCCACAAAGTGAGCAAAAGAGGCTGTACCTCCCTTCTAAAGCAACGGTAATGGCACCACATTAGCCTAATTTTATATGCCTGAACCATTTGTTTACTAATCATCTGCTTCCCTGAGAAATCACAATGGCTATCTGGACCACTTTTAGCTCTCCCTCTCTCCCTCCATCGCAGACACTCGGCAGGTGCAGAGCAGGAGCTAAAACTTGCACCCCCTCTGAAAGTGAAACGCTTTGAAATGTAGTTTCTTCTAAGCTGCAGCTGAAAGACCATAAAAGACCTCAGTTACCTTTGACACTGTTCAGAATGCAAGTGTACCTTTTGTGGGCTTTTCATCCGGGAATAACTCACATAAACACATAAAAAGACACAGTACACAGTCAAGAAAGGCAACTCCAATCACCCTTTAAACCGTTTCTTCTTTGTTTTGCTGTGCCCCATGTGGTGCTACATATTGTCAGATAAGGATAATGCTAATTTAGTTTATCCCCAAACCCTGCTGCGATCTTAATTGATGATTTGTGTCATTGGACATGCAGCCAGAAGGCACGTTTGTGACTGTGAAAATTCTTGAGCACTATTTGCATATCGCTATTGCATCTATATGGGTTAAATGACATGATGAGCTCTGATGCTGTGCGTTCCTGCAGCCTTTTGGGGGAAGATAATCACTGATAAAGTCATTCACTCACTCTAAATGACGGAAGTAAACAGAGCGCGGCGAGCATATGTTACAAACCAATTTAAGCTTTTGTATTTGGCCATAAAGCAATTGAGGAAATTAAAGTACAAACAAATGTATTGTCATTTCCTGTGCCATTCCTTCTAATTCAAACCCTGTGTGACGCCCCAGAAGCCATTATGTCTTCTTAACCAAGTGAATTTTAATTCTAGAAAGAGGAATGGTGTTTGTTTTCGCGCTTCCTCTTCGCAGTCACATTGTAAGATCTCTAATTGTTTATGAAAGCAGTACTTTTTAAAAATCAGGTCTGAAAAAAGTAGCAGAATGTGGAGAATTATTCATGAGGGTTTAGTCTGGCGGGTATCCTCAGCGGAGTGCATCTAGGTCCTGTTCCAGGGCCGTGAGCAGTGTGATGTTGCAGGCTGCCGCGGCTCCTTGCGTTGAATAGTGCAACGATCCTTAAGACACTTGTGCGCTGCTGCATGTTTGGGGCCCCGCCTGGGTCCGTGGCGGGTCATGCCCACTAAGCCGGTTTGATCCCTATTGCTCTCCAGAGAAGGCAGTGGGGCTGTTTATACCGGCAGAGAGCACGGCTTAAGGACACCCCTCGCATTCTTACCCGCGCTTATTCCACCACCAGTGCTGCGTTGGCATGGCTCTAAGTAAGCCACCGGGGAGCCAGGTCGGCCAGAGATGGATTGGTCTGATTTATGCTTGAAGAAGAGCAGGAGGCAAATTTAATGATCTTCTATACTGTCAACATCACAGAGCTTTTTTTTTTCTTCTCACTATCTGCTGCTATATCAGACTGCACAGGTTCCCATCTGTAACTTTTTCCTACATTTTGTAACCTTAACACAGCATTTGTAAAAAGTAAAACATTTGATACCTTCAATTCTCAAAGTGTTCATTCCAAGCATCAATACATTTTAAGAAATAAACTTTTGATATGGATATTCAAATAATAATAATGTATAAACAGCTGATTTGTTATCTTGCCGTGTAACAATAGCTTTAAACGTTTTTTTTTGTCTTTAGCTTTACTTTTCTGTTGATTAGTGTCAAAGGGAAAACTGCAGGTGACACCTTTTTGTGGGAAGCATATACTATTAATAAAAGAACACTTTACATTCTTACAGCAAAACTTTTGATTACAGACATTCCTCAATATACCAGTTCTGCTGTGAACAGAAATACCTCCACATACAAGATCAGAATGTCTTTAGTCTGTGGTTTACGTATTGATCTGTCTTAGAACATTCAAATCAATCTTTACTTTCTACTGACAACCTTGGATCAAACTTTTTTAGCAGAGCCCCACTCCTCCAGACAATGGCATGCGACGTGCACTCAAACAAGGTCTATAAAAATGAAGACACAGCATGCAGTGCGACATACAAAGCCTTGAGTCATTAGGCAATGATTTTAGCATCTGATTGCATTCCTTTTTTTAGACAGAGAAATGAAAAGTCAGCAGGGACGCATTCCATAAACTAAAGTTGAAGTTGTGGCATTGAAAAAGACAAGGCCAGTGCAAACTACACGAGAAAGCACTGATACTGCCCTACATATATCTTCATTATGCATAGTCCTGTTGCGTTTGATGTCATTATATGTGCAACAAAAACAATTAGAACGTCTTATTTTTAGACATCAAT